GACTAGCCGTTGAGCGATGAATTTTTCAGTCGACATAGTTAGTGCTGGAGAATTATCCACTGACAAATGGCTAATCGGTCTGATTCCTAGAAAGACCTCTGTATCCTATTTATTCTAGTTCTAGTGTGTGACATAGTGCCATGATTCAGTTGAGCACCAGTAGCAATCGCAATGTGTTTTTTCTCTTTCGAAGTCTCTGAATGTGTTCAGCATTCGGAAAAATCTTTCAGAAAAGGGTCAGCGAATCCAAAGGATGAGCGTTACTTGTTTAGAATTCCAGACAAGACGAGATATTTCTAAGTAAAGTGCACGTTGGGCCATTTTCGCGTAATTTAAATAATACAGAGTAAGGTCCAAACAGCACAGCAAAAAATAACGAATCTGCACTTGAAATGCAAATATTTTTACTCGAATGGTAAATAATAGAAATTTGAATACGTTGATAACATTTTTCTATGTTCCATAACTCTAATACTCTCTACATTTCTAAAACTTGTATAGGTCATACGGCTACAATAATCGTTGCAGTGCCTACACCCTTTGTAGCGCCTGTAGGGCTGAGCCTGTATAGCTCCTATCGTCCTTGCACCCTGTGACCCCGTAACGGCTAACCTATATAGCTGAAGTAGCGGCTTGCGGTTCTTCGAAAAATATATGTGAGTTCCACAAAATCGTAACACCGCCACAAATCGTTGGCTATTTCGTACAAGTTTACAATATGTGAGTAAAGACATCGAGCTGCAAATTCTTTGTTTGCTTATGTTCTCCTTCTACATGGTTCGACTGATTATTTTCGTTCTTATCATACCGTTTCTTCTATACTGGGTTCTTTTCACTATTATTGTTTTGGAGCTTTGCAATTTGTGATCCTTTCAAAAAGAAAAGTAAGAGTTACGTTTGTCGGTGCTTTTTTGGGTGAGAAACATGCCGATCACGCTGTTTGAAACGCTCCCTAACGAACTTCTGCATATCGTGTATTCGCATCTGACCGGTTTCGAAATTCACCGAGCATTCAGCGATCTAAACGCTCGATTGACTGGTGTTATAAGCGACTATACCAAACATTTCGATTTAACTCAAATGAAATTCCAACAGTTTGAAGAATGCTGTCGAGTGTTACTTGAATCAGATCGAGGAGCACAAATACAATCACTTTGCCTTTCGAACAGAAGACCAGTAGTCAATGAAATTGCTTTATTTTTAACGAAACTACGACCATTACATGAAAGACTGCCCAATCTGCAATGTTTGAAATTATTCGGTGCTACCACTACAGAATTAATGCAATATTTACCCAACACAATTTTGCTTCAGAAGTTAACAAAACTTTCGATCGAATCTAAGGAAAAATATACGACTGACAATACCGACCGGATGTTTTTCGAAGATTTAGTCAAGAATCTCGGTCCAATACAACAACTATCTTTGAAAGGCATCCGTCTCAGAAACATTTCTCAATTCAAATGGCTAAACAACACAGTTACACACTTAAATATTGATATAGAAAGAATAGCAGAATTGATTTCTATTCTTCATATCTTTCGTAATCTCGAGTATTTAAGTGTAAATGTAGTTGCCACTAATGATACCTATCAAGTTCAGTAAGTAGCATCGCAGGAGCACAGATCGGTAATATGTTATTTTACCACTAGATGCGATGATGTTGTTCCTGCATTACAAGTGAAAGAATTTCGGTTGAAATCATTTGACAGTATATCTCTTCCAACATTTGATGATTTGGTGTTTTCATTAAATCTAATGCCGAATTTACATTCATTCAAATGTCAACTGGATATTTTATATACAGTACTGAATGAAGATTATTCGACATATGCAAATGGTGACCGATGGCACATTATACGCAATCAGTTCAAGTCTATAACAAATTTCGATTGCTCTTTTCGATATAGGATATTGTGTAATACAACGTGCCAAGGTATCTGTCAATCCTTTTCCTCATTTCCTTATTGGACTGTACACGTTTACCCATCGTTGCCATATGCAACTGAGATATTCGTGTTTACAAAACGACCACATCGATCAACTGTGAAAATATTACCGACGTATTTTGAGCAATACGATGACCGGAAAATCACCAGTTTAATAAACAGAGCTTCAGCGATTTCGATAAATTGGACTGATTATGAACGTGAAGATGATATACCGACTCTTAGGCTGAGTTGTCCGAACTTTTCACACATCAAATCAGTGCTGATTGGACATCCACTTCTGTATTTCGACGACCAGTTAAAAGAATTTTTACAACAACTTTTTCATGGGAGCTCGATTTTGAAGGAAATCATTCTTTACATGTCGATCGATGAATCGGCCATTGACAATATTCTTCATTTTCTCTATTGTCTATCACAACCAATCAGCAGTGTTACTAATCTTTCTATCAGACCAGGATGCCGATTAGATGAGACTATCATCACGATTATGGCTTATTATCTACCATCATTAGTTTCGTTCACATTAATGGGAATCGATGAACTTGATGATATCGCGGAAGTTGTAAATGCATGTGTAAAGGAAATGAAACATTTGACCTATCTTGAATTTCACGTGCCGCATCCTGGATCAGTAGAAGGTGGTTCATTATTGAAATTGCGATTGATGGAATGTGAAATTCACGCATGGCTAATGCAAAACACAAGTTTGGGAGATTTAGTGACGGAAAGAGAATTTTATGCAGAATGCTCCGAAGATTTAAAGATTTGGTTATCATAAACTAGTTGAATGATGAATACGCCATCTTTAATTTTTATATTCTTATTGAATAAATACATTTACCAATAGATTCTTTTCATTTTGTCTTACTGTCAATGTTGTAGAACTTACATCAGACTACACCTGATGTCGTCTGATGCCGATGACGCGATTAAAAATCAAGCTGGTCGTTTGTATGCTTCTATGTTTGGTAAACTGTTAGAAGACGATGACGAAACGCCATCACGGATTGCAGATCGATTGTTTCTTGGTTCTGCTCCCGATGCTCGTAATCTAGACAAATTAAAACGTTATGATATCAAATACATACTGAACATGGCGGAATCTACATCGTATCCAAAGGACTTTTTTATTAATTCTGGATGTCCACATATCAATCTTTTTACTTTATAGATGCACATGATCTCGATCACTTCGATATTTCTTCTCATTTTCCAGCAGCACTGAATTTCATTCATAAATCTTTACAAGCAGACGATGGTGCTGTACTGGTGCATTGCTCCGCCGGTGTATCTCGTTCAGCGACTATTGTTGCTGCTTATCTCATGGTTGCGCATCAGATTGATGCTACCGAAGCTGTACAACGTGTGAATCAAGCACGTCCATGTGCTTGTCCCAACATCGGATTTATTCAACAATTACTTCGTTTCGATCACAGAGATTTTAAATTTGATTAAAAAATGAAATTCTTTCTTCATAAACGTGAATAAAATAGGACTATTCGACATTGAACTCTGGAGCTATACGACTGAGATGATCTATTATGCGCCGTTAGTCGTTAGAAGTACTTAAAATTTCAAATCGATTGAAGTCATTTACTTCGATATCTGAAGAAGATTCGTCAATAACAATATCTTCCTATACACGACGGCGCCTTCTTTTCAATTTCGGCGATTGATCAGCGATGACTCCACTCGTCTTTTTGTTTGTCATGTTTACGATTGTATGTTCTTCCGATTCATCGTTGACACGAAGTCCAGAATGGTTTCGTATGATGATCCATCCACATCCTTGTCGTGCAAATATTCGTCGAAATGGAATCGTCTGTGGTTCTTCTGACAACGAATCGAGACTGTACCAATCGTTTTCATATTTCTTAACACTCCAAATATGTTCATTGTTGAAGACTAATATTGCAACAATATCAGAACATGAATCTTCACTAAACACGATGCCAGGGAAGTAAAAATAGCAAGCTGATGTTTTCAATGTTCGTACTTTATATCAGGTGGATGGTCTGGAAAATAGTATGTACTTTGTAAATTGAGCTTATTTAGAATGAAACTAATAAGATTATCATCGGAATGAATAAAGAAGAACTCTCGACTTCCTCTACAATGGTTTTTCATGTCGAATTCGTCACAATAATGAAAAAATCTAAATATGGTACAGAATATACGAAACGACGGATGGTGTGATTGCAGAACTATCCTACCTTTTTCGAGAAATAACTGACCTTCCCAGTGCATTATTAATAGCATGCAACCTACATGTATTACTAGTTTCTTGCCTTTCAAAAAAGATCCGTTGTCGCTTTAGTTTTGTTTGTCTCTTCATTTTATGACTAAAGAACAATCTGCTCGGTAGAGAAAGAAAACAATGTAATTCATAGAAATGACATAATTCCTTGAAATTACATGCTATGCAACAAATGATTTATTCAACCAATGAAAACCTCACTAACGACATCTCGCTGTCGAATCAGTACATCAAGTATTCGATTGTATTGATTCTCCGACAGAAGGTCTCGGATTTCATTCAACCAGTCAGTAAATTGTCCGTTGGTAATTTGAGCAAAATTATTCAACGTGTGACTTATTGAAGAACGATCCGTCACTGGCAATGATTCCAGATATAGTTTCAGCTTTCTTGCTTGTTCAACTGGATCGAATTAACGATTGTCAAATGATTAGTGTGAAATTTACAAGCGACAAGACTAACGATACTAAGTTTACCTAATCCGAAACACGAAGCATGATCGATCAGATGTATTTTCATCTTCACATTCGGATCATTGATATCAGCGGTATTTGATATTGTAACTAAAAGATTTCGTAAATTGCGATCGGAGTTTTGAATAATATGATCGAGCAGATCCATACGTCCTAAGATCGGATGTGTTAGTAGATGTTTGCGTACTTGCTTTGGTAATTCCATAAACGTCATCGTTCTTTCATTTCCTTGGTTAACGTCTGTGTGTAGTGTCACAAGTTTATTCTGATAAACTGTAATTTGTACTTCATTGACGGGCAAATCGAGTGCACTTCCTAGAACATAGGTCAGCCATTCGTTAGCAGCACATAGTGGATTTTCTTGAGTTTTCACTAGAATGCGTCGACCTTGAGGATCCAGCATCCAGATTGATTCGCTATTGAACCCTTGATCGCGATTTTTACCGATGTATGTCCATTCAGATGTGATTTTGATGAACGCTGATTGTTTGATCGTAGTCGTTTGGCTTTTCTTGGTTAAGCCGTGTGCTACTGCGCGTACAACTGAGCTATTCATGTGAGTATGCTTAGCTAGCGTGTCAAATACATGCATGGTCCCATTGAAGATCACTTTGATAGGACCTCGTATCCAACGAACGGCATTATTGGAAAACTGGATTTTATGAGTGATTCTGGATGGAATATTTGCAGCATGAGTCATTTTCAGTACATCTTCTCTTAGACATTCTATTTCATTCGACAGATACTTTGTTGATTTGTCCGCAGGAAAAGTTAATGGTTGTTCTTGGATCGTATTGAGAATCGCTGCAATTTCGTTCAATTTCTTCTCGCAGTCATCAGTTGAACAAATATCCGATATTAATGAGTTCAATCTTTCAATTGGCGAAGTGTCTTTGCCCGTGGTGTGTTTTAAATATTCTTGTAATCTGGTTCGATGATTGAAAAGATGATTTGCGTATAGACCAATTGAGTCTATTTTAAATACATCATCATTCATTTTTCCCCAATGATGAAAGACTAAAAATGTACAAACTGAGGTATTTCATCGAGCGATCACAAGTTTAAATAGTTTTCATCGTATGCTGTTATGCAACGGATTTTGTACTCGCTCACTGCACTCATTCAATCACACTGATACACGTCTCGTCCTTTTGACGCTGCTTATGTAACACGTGGTATTGTAAACTTTGTCTTTTCTGCCAACATTGAATAACTTAATATGGTTTACATAATCGTACAGAGAAAGAAAACATTTTTTTTCCATTCTGTCGTACAATTCTTTTCTACCTGTAGTTTATGTCATTCGAGAAATTTCGTTCTCGTGAGAACAAAACTCGATTGTTAAGTTTTAATCTTTTTGTCTTTTTTAACCTTGCTTGTTAAAAGAGTCATCCAACGCGATTCAAATTTGTTTTGTCACTTTTGTTTTTGATTCGAAGCAAGTACACCAGGAAATGCTGACATAGGTGCTAGCTGCTTTGCGAAGTATTAATACAGTGATCAGGTAAACGTTGTGGGCTTAAAGCAATACCAAAGGCAAGCTCACACATTGTACTATAAGAACCTCGGATCGAAACATATCAGTATATCAGGGATGGTTCCATTTATATAGGATCACGATCTAAGTTATTCAAATCACTATGAATAACAATCTGTGTCAGCCGTAAACACTCGATATTATAACTTCCTTTTCTGCTGTTCAGAATCAAATGCGCCTTGAATAACTGAATTTTATGCCCGAAAATCACTGCCCGTCTGGTAACTATCAGCTAAAAGGGCACAATTATTCTTGATTATTTCATACCCAATCAACGGCACACATATGGTACGATCTTCTCCTCTAATCATTCCGACAAGAGCAATCCGACTAGGAACTGTTGCTATAGTCATATTGTATGCGATTACGTATTCATACATTGTCAAGAAACAAACGAAACTCAAAAGAACAACTATTACAGAAATATAGATGTCATGCTTCATCGTGATATAATATTCATTGTTTTTGTTAAGAGAAAGAAGAATAAGCAGAACAGTTTTCGGTTTAATAAACACGTCTCTCAACTCACATACCCGTATTAGAATGAAAAATATTCAAGTAGCTTTTTAGTTGCATTTCAAAATCTGCAAGGTATTGATCTTTCGTCTTTTGTTCGCCATTTTCTCTCCAAACACCTAACGGCAATTCGACAGCAATCAAAGACGCCATTCGAAGAAATGGATTATTTCTGAAAATGTCCGATGAAGACAGATCAGTAGATATGTTCGGTGACAATAGCGGAACAAACCAATTCTGTTCTGTCTTGTTTGGTATTATCAACTGAAACGCAAATCGTACTTGATGGTCATGTTGCATCCATTAGCCACTGCCGATTGAAATCAGCAAAGTCACAATGAAATATTCGCTTACCAGCTGCTTTTTAACTTCTGCGTCAACAGCTGCTTCGTTCTCCTTCAATTGGTGTGGTGCTTTCTGATTGATATCTCTGGATTCTCTTGAATAGGTTTTTGTAATCATCCAAAATAGTATTGCATAGATAATTCGATTAATACCAATTTATCTTTTTACCATTCCTCGGATAATCGTCGAACCATAATATTATCGGATGTAATGATATGATGAACAATATTTCAAGAATGTACTTATACTGGTTAACAATAAATAAATTCGAAATGATCGTTAACATATGATGCAATTCGAAAGGAACATCTCGAAAATATTCCTTTAACGTTTTACCATCAATCTGCTGCATGGTGGCGTACGGTTCATTTTTGTATTAGTATCACTAATTAACAGCTTCGGTATACTTTTCAATCCAACCAGTTTGTCGAGCGCTATGCATTCTCGTTGACTTGCATATATTTTGATGACTGCGTTGATGTTCCTGTTTTGTTTCTTGACAGATGGTTATCAGTGTTTACATATTGTTCCCGGAGTGAAGATTTTGTTATGAACGATGTTGACGAAGAACGTTGAGTTTCGCATCGTTTCAGCCGAAAAAAATCCATATTCTTTTCTAACTGAAACTGTAATCGGTCCCATTTTTAGTCTTCCGAATATGGTTTATCATGCTATTTTAACATCATCTTTCGAAGAAAATTCTCCGATGATTCGTTGACTCCGTTTAATGCCAAATTTTTCAAATATATCTTCTTCGGTTGTTGATGACAGAAGATGACTATGCAGGTCGTGTTAGTGATGTTGCTTGTCTTCTGCTACTATATCCGTATCAGCATTCGTTATCGCCACATGCGCCTGGTTTGCCACATAAGATATGTCGATAGAAACAAAGTCCATATGGACATCATCCTTGTTCATAACCTCTACATAATTCTGCTTTATTTAATGGTGCATCGATAGTGGTACATTTAATTTTGTATCCGCGTAAGATTCTATTTGATTTCTCGACAGTCAATCTGTGTGCTTTTCATGTGCTGTTTGTAGGTTTAATTCATGCTTCACCCTCACCCTACGACTTTCCGATAACGAATACTAATTTAATTCACACGCCGCATGTATAAAAGTATATCAGCATAGCTGTTATCACATCCGAAGGCTTGGTTGTTAATCAAGTTTCCTCTATGTCAATTTCTATTCCATTAATTCTAGGAGATGTATTTTCTAAAATAATCTGATCAACTGTGTCGTAACTAGAAAAAAAACAGCGATTTTCTACCAAGCAAATATTATGACAGATCTTACTCCTGAAACTGTCGAATGCATTCGTGGTCATTGGGATGGTCACAACCAATTATTCCACCAAATCGATTGAAATATTTCTGCATATCGTATTCTGTCAGTTTCTGTTGAAAACTGACATTTCGGACAAGTTCACGCAATTTGAACGATAGGAAACAGGTGATTTGGCTAGACATGGAAATATCCTTCCGGTTGAGTTGAGATACTTCGAATTCTTTCCCATATACTTTAATAACTTCTATGCATCTGGTCACCATTTGCATCGACTAAACTATTGCGTTCTTTAATAATGATATTGATGTTGATGATGTACATACCGTATCGTTTCCCTACTTTAGTCTAGGACTTGTGGGCGGACCAATCTTGATAAGTACTGCCTTTTCAATATATTTTTCATTGATCTCTTTGCAGACACCGTGAATGATAACCGAACAACGATCCTGGTCGAGCATGTTTTGTGGCTCATTTCAGAACGAAGTCAACTTTTCCTGTATTCATTGAGAAATATCTCTACCATTGCCTTTGGTATATAATTCTTCTTCAGATGAGTGAGAACCTGATATAATATAGATTTCGATTTCAGTCGATGGTATGTAGTTAATCCATATGTCAATTTGTTTAATTTATATGTTAAGATTTTTCTCCAGGAAAAATCCCACTATCAGTCTTTCTTAATAGACAATTTCCAATTACTATATGAAGGCATCAGCTAGCAATCGATTCTCTCTTCACAAACGAATGGCAAAGAAAACGTGTTCTGTTTCGTTCCAGATTGATCTGAAATAAAAATAAACCCTGTGTGATCAACACGTGAAGAGACAGAGAGAATATTCCTGTATTCAAGATAAATCATACTATTTCTTCTTCTTTTTTGGCACTGAACATATTATATACGAGTAAGCAGATCCCACTGCTATTTCACGTTTTAATAATCTTTACCGGAGCTGTGTAAACAATATGAGAAAGACATCAATGTTTCTCTCTACGAAATAAAGTTGTATTTTACCGTTTACATCGGAAACACCGATTCAGCGTATACTAAATTGTTGCCAGTATTCATCAATGAATGATGATGTACAGTTTCTCGGTAATCTTCTCACACATATACGAACAAATGGTCTATATTAACAGTCAACTGTATTCATAAACGCACACATGATCATTTTCTCATTGTATATTCGGTCTGTGAATTTACATGGTTCCTAATGGTGAACACTGAATTCAGATGAATAAAAGTGTCAGTGTATTATATGTGAGCGTGTACTGTCTCACTCCTTTTCATTTTGTGTGCATGACTTTTGAAATTTTTTCAATCCAAGTGAATAAATTTTCCTCTTTTTTCTGTAGTAAAGAATCATTTAGCTGACAAGCAAAATATCTCGGAATGTTGAATTTTAATAAGTGCCTGCGAGTGCATGATTACTCTTTTTCGGCGACTGTTTTGTTTCAAACTTAAACAAACATTTCGCGCGATATTTTCTCTAGAAAAATCCTTTTCGAAAGAAGTATTCACTTTTCTCCAATGTAGAGCAAACAGTATTCTACGCATTTGTTATGTCGAGGTGGACTGTTTTCAACAGTCGCCGAAATTTGCTCGATAAAAAAGAGTGTTTAATTGTTTCTCTTGCAACTAACGTAGGCGCGAGCATAAACACAAAAATTCGTCTATAAAAGAAAAGGCCTTGCAAGTTGATATTTTTATTCAGTATAGTCATCATAATGTATATCGTATACTTCTTGTCTTCATGGATATTACAACTTTGCTTTATCCATAGTACACATTTTCGAGGTGGAACAATTACATGGTATAAACTCAAATGAAATATCTTATTTCTTTCGAATTCATCTCTCTTTTATAGGCGACCTTTGAATGCAACTCCGTCTGGTGGTTCAGCTTCTTTTCTAGTTCGAGAACGATATTCATGGAATCGTAATACATACTATTGTGATGATACAACTATTGCCAATAACGGTCTAATAAGTGGTGGCAACAACGTTGCTTGCACAGCAGGTCCCTGCACCGGTTGGTCCAACATGCTGACATCGACGTATTGCACGGATTTCAGTGCTGCTCTTACTGTTAGTTCGGGTGAAAGAACTCAAGTGTACACATTCCCACTGAATATTTCATTCACGATTTACTTTAATGATGGCAATTGGTTTAATGGCCTTGAAGTAGGTAACAGTACAAGTTGGTATGTGTCGAATCGTGTCATTACCAATGTCAGACCAGATGGTTATCTTAATACAAGTCCTATTGGTGTCACCATTCCTATCATCTACAAGCCAATCAACATACAACAGGTGCATGTTGTTCAAATGGCTGACTTTGATTCAACTGATATTTTGAGATGTCGATGGTCCACTAGTATATCTGCCAATAATATATGTCAATATAATGAATGTGGGGGAATATGTAACGGTGTTCCTGGTGCTGTACTTCTTGAGAATAACTGTACCATCGTATTCACACTAACACATGCTAAATTATACGCAGGGGTGGCACTACAAATTGAAGATTTCTTCAACAATGCAACATTGACAGCTAATACACCAATGAGTTCTGTTCCACTTCAGTTTCTTTTCTATGGCTATTCTGTAACAGGTAATTGTACAAAACCGCCACAAATCATTGGTAATCGACCTAACCGAGGTAAACTTACAGATTCCTAATCATACATTCTATCATATTGACTACACTTAGCTTGTATTGGCACATCCAATAGTACATTCGTCACCGAAACCATCGTTGTCGAAACATATTGTCCTGGACAATACGTTGCTGATTTTGTTTCAAGTTCTCCAATTGGAATGAGAAAGAGTGCCATCATCAATTCAAGTTCAAGTAATAGTGCTCATTCTAATATTCAAGTATTCATCATACCTCTTTCTTTTCACAGCCATTTTCCAGATGATTCTTACCTGGAATGTCTCAAATACTCTCCACGGTCCTGAACCACTGTGTGCTGCTGCCGTCGATAATTTCCAATTACAATCCAATCAATGGTGTGTCACATTCGTCGTTGGTTATGACTCACCCGATGTCATTCGACCAACNAGTTTGTGAGGAGTCGAGAGGCTCCGATTGTTTCACCTGGGACGCGCTCAATTACTGTGATTTAGACGCGATTCGGACGCGATGAAAGCGCGTTTAGATCCAAAAAATGCTTACATGGGGAGTGTTACAGTGTACGCTTTTGATTTTCTATACGTATGTTCCATTCTTTGGTCATTATGCATGTGAAAAGACGCGTTTTTTCCCTGAAATAACCAGATATATATACGCCAACGCTCGTGTCGCTAGATGGAACAGTACGTTTTCGCTGACTGATTCTTTTACTAACGCAAAGGAACTAATGAGAAAAAAATACAACTTTTAGACATTCCTGATCGATACTTACGCTGCGTATTGTAGTGATCCATTTTGCAACAAGATTTATTTCCAGAAAATCACATCTGTCAGGCAATTTCTGCTATAATGCACAAAGAAAATTGATTTTAGTTATTCGACGAAGAGCGATTGAACTTATTGAAGACAAACGTCAAGATATAAATTAAGAGGAAGCTGACTGACGACTACAAGCAACAAGTTTTCGAATCGGTATGGATCAGTTGAAGTTATCTTTGTCGACTTTTGTTGTTATATTGTATAACACATAAAGAGATTCTGTATCTTTAGAAATCGAACAAAGAATGTGAAGTGAGAACAACCAATGGAATGCGACTTTTGCTAAACTTAATTGCCAAGTTCAATTACCTGTTCATCACTAGTGACTCTTTTCGGTCGTCCATTAAAAAATCTATATTTTGAATAATTTCGTTGAAAAGAAATGACCTAGACAAAAAGAAAGAAATATATTCTACCGGATAACATATTCCATCAATATTATTAGAATTACTCCCAATTAAAAACACACTATAGGCAACTATGATGCGTTTTTCTTTTATTCAATCTACTCGTCCGATGTCTCTCGAAACCATAGCTACCTCTTTCTATATCTAGCTGCATTAACATTCTCCTCTACAGCAAATCGAGACAATTCATTTTACCAATCGAAAAGAATTCAGGTATACGATTGCAACAATATAAAAGACGTTCATAATGAATTACTTCATTAGTACTGTATTTAGAATTATGCCTCTATAGAGGAGACAAATATAGTCGTCTTACTACGTGTAACATACACGTATATAGTTGTATAGTCGGCAGTGGAGGCGTCATTCTCTTTTTATTTTGCGACAGGTACGAGACAATACGCTTCTAGAAGAAAGTAACTGTACAATCGACGAACTGAGTCACCTACTCCTCTATGAGTAGAGATAGAAATCGCTCGATAGATCGCCGAGCATTTCGAAATATTGATCCATTCTCGATTGTTCTTTCCAATACAACGACAATTTAATAGACAATCATCAAAATTTAACTGTCATATTTTGATATTTTCCTTCGTGTATGTAGCTTTATTTTATGCAATCAACAACATTGTTCTATTATGTTTTGTCTCTCTTAGAAACACGACAATACTTGTCACATGGAGAAAATAAACGCAGCGAACCGCATTAAATAAATACGAATATAAAATCACTATCAAATTTTATACACTTGCGGTTATACTTTTTTGAATATGGCTGGTTTAGCAAAAACATTCAATGGTCGTGTTTTGAATAAATCAAAAGAGAAAATCAATCTGACGGATCGAAAATATCAAGGCAAAATCTTTGGTCTGTACTTTGGTGCTTCTTGGTAGATGAAAAAACTGTTTCTTCATCGAATCAAAGTACTATAGCCGTGTTTTTTTGTTTTGTCTTATAGGTGTCAACCTTGTCGCGCATTTAGTTCATTTCTGAGCGAAATTTATGATGAATTTCACAAAGAGAAACGATTTCAAATCATTTACGTTAGTGCAGATGCTGATGAACAATCATACAATCAATATTGTCAGACAATGCCTTGGTTAGCCGTGGATTTTAGAGATCACAAGCTACGAGATGATCTAGCTATGAAATATAGTGTAACCGATGTCCCGAAATTGGTTTTAATCGATGGCGATACAGGCAAAACTCTTTGTACAAACGCAAAAGAACAAATCCTGTATCTGGATACAGAAGGAGTCAATTTTCCATGGAAATCATCATAAATAGAAAGCCTTTTTTTGTTGTTTCACGACCATAATAAACAAAATTCGAGTGCTTTCATGAGAGGAGTGTGGGTATTGTAAGCCTGCGGTTCTTTGTTTCTGATGGAAATAAGCCATTGTAATTATTAAATTGAATAAGTCCACCATTTCTGTTAGAGTTGATTTGTTTGTTGAGATAGTTTATTATGATACTTAACAAGCCTAAACGATCCTTATAATAATCCACTCACATACATCAAACTATGGTCTATAAATAGTAGACTACGTGGATACTTCTATAGATTAGATTATCGGAAAATACCTGTGTTGAATCTTCCACTAGGAAAAGATCAAACGAACATACCGAAATTATAAGATGGAACGAAAGAAAGAATAAGGAAACACATTGGATAATTACTTATGGAAGAAATATTTCATGACAATTTCTTTATTTCGGCGTTACCTTTTTCCACATTTTTCACTTTACTCGGATAAAACAATTAAGAGAATACAAACGATCTGCAAAAGAAAACGAACACTTTTTTTCATTTCGCTTTCGCTTAGTATAGAATGTAAGTATATATTTCGTCATTTTTCATCAAAAATAGAAAGTTTCGATTATAGAGCTATTGAATTCAGCACAGGCATACACTGAACATCTACCCATATTGATTAAATGAAATAGACGCACTGTTTCTCAGTAGTTTTCTCGCACATGTATGCGAAACAAACAAATCATATTCTTCATCTGAAGCGCCTATTACCGTATAGCAACCAACCAAATGTGCATTGAAATACATACTTAATTGCGAATTCAACATTCGATCTGTGAATATCTATGGTTTCTTTTGATGTGTCAAATAAGAGCAGTTGTATGCAGTATATATCTTAAATAAACAGAATATTTTGGCCTCAAATTAGTACACAATTACTTTGTAGTCAATCAAAAAGTTGTGGCGTATTGATTACTTAATCATTCCTTGTAAAACTTACTTCACAATTGTATTTTTTCGATGACTTTTCTTTGATAGTAAAAAACAACCGATCGCGACATTCCTTCATTACAAAGGTTGTTTTTGTCAAGAATTTTCATTCTGTCTGAAACAGAACAAATAATATTTCATACACTTTTTAGGCTTGAGGCGGTGCTTTTTTTCAAAGCAATGCAGAGCGTGTTGATAAGAAATGCTGTCTCTGCCTCTTACATACTTCCTCCCACGTCTCCTGTCTGTGTAAACACAGAAATTCGTCTGTAAAAGGCCTTGCAAGTTGATATTTTTATTCAGTATAGTCATCATAATGTATATCGTATACTTTTTGTCTTCGTGGATATTACAACTTTGCTTTATCCATAGTACACATTTTCGTGGCGGAACAATTACATGGTATAAACTCAAATGAAATATCTTATTTCTTTCGAATTCATCTCTCTTTCGTAGGCGACCTTTGAATGCAACTCCGGTTGGTGGTTCAGCTTCTTTTCTAGTTCGAGAACGATATTCATGGAATCGTAATACATACTATTGTGATGATACAACTATTGCCAATAAGGGTCTAATAAGTGGTGGCAACGATGTTGCTTGCACAGCAGGTCCTTGCACCGGTTGGTCGAACATGCTGACATCGACGTATTGCACGGATTTCAGTGATCGTCTCACTGTTAGTTCGGGTGAAAGAACTCAAGTGTACACATTCCCACTGAATATTTCATTCACGATTTACTTTTATGATGGCAATTGGTTTAATGGCCTTGAAGTAGGTAACAGTACAACTTGGTATGTGTCGAATCGTGTCATTACCAATGTCAGACCAGATGGTTATCTTAATACCAGTCCTATTGGTGTCACCATTCCTATCATCTACAAGCCAATCAACATACCACAGGTGCATGTTGTTCAAATGGCTGATTTCGATGGAACTGATATCTTGAGATGTCGATGGTCCACCCGTATATCTGCTAATAATACATGTCATTATAATGAATGTGGGGGAATATGTAGCGGTGTTCCTGGTGCTGTACTTCTTGAGAATAACTGTACCATCGTATTTACACTAACACATGCTAAATTATACGCAGGGGTGGCACTACAAATTGAAGATTTCTTCAACAAAGCAGCATTGACAGCTAATACACCAATGAGTTCTGTTCCACTTCAGTTTCTCTTCTATGGCTATTCTGTAACAGGTAATTGTACAAAACCGCCACAAATCATTGGTAATCGACCTAACCGAGGTAAACTTACAGGTTCCTAATCATACATTCTATCATATTGACTACGCTTAGCTTGTATTGGAACATCCAATAGTACGTTCGTCACCGAAACCATCGTTGTCGAAACATATTGTCCTGGACAATACGTTGCTGATTTTGTTTCAAGTTCTCCAATTGGAATGAGAAAGAGTGCCATAATCAATGCAAGTTCAAGTAATAGTGCTCATTCTAATATTCAAGTATTCATCATACCTCTTTCTTTTCACAGCCATTTTCCAGATGATTCTTACCTGGAATGTCTCAAATACTCTCCACGGTCCTGAACCACTGTGTGCTGCTGCCGTCGATAATTTCCAATTACAATCCAATCAATGGTGTGTCACATTCGTCGTTGGTTATGACTCACCCGATGTCATTCGACCAACACTCGTCCAAGGTTCAGCATCACCCGTCGGCACCGTCTTCCAAAACCAATCTGTTTTCTCATTTCAAAGTAACACTTCTTTCTCACCACTAACAAAACATTTCTGTGGCCTTCCATTTTAGCAACAAAATTCGTTGGCCGTCCATCACGTAATGGTACAAACATCTACTTCAAAGATGCTGCTAATAACGTAACTGTTGCACAATTCGATTGTGGCTGGGCACCTGAAGTGACATTCACAGGGTACACTACTGTCATTCGTTTCACAACTACACCATGGCAAGCTGGACACTTCTATTATATCACGATGGATGGAGGTATAGTCGATGTTAGATGAGCTATCGAATTGGAATGTTTTCTTGTTTGATTATAGGTGTTGTAAGTGGAACTGAGTTTTGTGGTAAGTGTGCATCTGATACTTTTATTTGAGACGAAATATGAAAATGAAAGGAGACTTTAGGACCCGAATCAGCACCTATCAGAGATCCGACTTATTGGGTGTTCAACATCTGGGATCCAGCTGTTTCGTCAACAACAACAACTACCACAACACCTTTCACAACAGCTACTGTTACAACAAAACCGACATCGACAACAAGTATCAACACTTTAGTATACGAATCTGATTACACACTTCATTTTAATCATTCCGGATGTTGATCTTTGTAGTTAACAACATCTGGCATAGTGGTTACAACTACTACTCCTATCACAACACCACCAACGACTTCGACAACTACACCACCAACTACAGCTGGTAAGTCGTAAAACATCACAAGGGTGTTTCACATTCATGTTGCGTGTTATCTAGCTCCAACAACAGCTGGTCCAACAACTCCAGGAGTGACAACGGAGTCCACAGTTGCTGTCATGTATCCAAAAGACTTCGTAAACTTTTCATTCTATCTGGATATCTGTATAACTCTGTTTTCTATCTCTCTCTCTCTCATAGAAAGATGCATGTAAGTCATCTGTGGCAACGATGACAGCTGTGATACTTGCTGCATTGGCTCCTATACACACTATAGTTATGTATGCTACATTGACCAAACTGGAGAAGATGTTCAGTCCATCTCGTGTGAATGCTGGTACACGGCACAAGTTGCGAACGAAACGAATCATGCGATCATGAAGACAATGTCACTGATTTGAACTGCTATACGCTTAATGAAAGAGTGTGTGCTTCTATTTCTAAATAAAAATAATCGAGTGGACAAGTTATGTCTCTGTGTCATTGAGTCGAACTTCTGAGAATGAAGACATTTTGCGAATATGGCTCAACTTAATATCGGATTGAATTGAACATGAATAAATATCGTTGAATAAGTCAGATTATTATTCTTTGCCCTCAAATGTATATGACGATAACCTATAAAGAGAATAAGATAAATAAAAGCATCAACATCGACTAAGGTTGAACCTGTCTGCATTGCTGTGACTGGTAAACAAAAATATGCTAATCGATCGTCACGAGAAAATCGGTCATGATCATAAACATCGAATCGGATAAGACACATTTGTGGAAAATGAATATCAAATTGGAATGTTTCATTCCATTCCGGATCGAAGCCATTGTCATCAATTTTCTTCGTTTTCTTCGTTTGTTTATCACATGGAATTCCGTGTGTTGAAATGAGAACATACGGGTCGGGAATATCCGTCGTCGTTTCATTAGCTCGAGGGAGAAATTGTCCGCTAATCACTTTTATGGTCAAACGTTGCGGGCATTCGAAAATACATTCGGATAGTGCCGGTGGTTTGACAATAAAATTTAAAGGATTGAATAATGATTTATCAATATCAGTGAGATATTTTGGTTTTAATACGTATCCGCAGCCTCCATTGTCCATAAATTTCCCGTAAGATAATGACATGACCGAGTCGTCATTTTGATAATTCAACGCCACCATTTGTATGCCGAAATTCCAAGGCGCTATCGGATCCGGATTGCTGGAATCTTGTCGAAGACCATCGGGATACATTCGAAGCGAAGATTTCAATGTTTGTTTAATCACACCTAATGGGTCGGCTTTACATGCTCGGTCGAAATGCTTTTCTGCAAGATTAGCTGAATGATAACATTCTTGGCTCTTTTCCGCGTTCTCATAGTCAATATATGGAACATTTTGTAAATAGAAAAATAGATATGGTGACTGCTTTTCGGTTATCTAAATACAGAAGATTTAATCTCGAAAGAAAGAAAACAGAGATTTATACTTGTGGTTCATCAACTGGAGCAGGAATTTTCACACCCTAAAAACACTCGATCGATGTATTCTTGTTCAGCAAAAACGAATTTTTCTTCTACCCGAATAAGCACTTTATATTTCAGATCTTCCGGTGACGGTAAAATCGATGAATCCTTAGTCAACAGTGGTTCCGAAATTAATCGATCTACTCAAGCAAAGAAGAACATTCTCCGACGGTATGCTTTTCTTGCTAGAGATCTTTACCACCGAGTATGCGTTGTAAGATTCGTGCCATTTCCTGCTGTTGTTCAATTGAACAATGATTCTCCAGATCAAGTATCACGGGATATGGTGATGCTTTGAAAAGATTCGGTTCAATGAAACGAATGATTGATTCGAATAAACATGGCTTAACCAGTGTAAAGCCATGTTTGACTATCGGTCGGCCATTATCACCATCGTAACAGTCGATTTCCACAGCGCGACAACCAGCTTTCAAAGCGCGATTATATGCTTCTGGATTACTGTCACCAAAAACTTGGTTATTGAACAAATAACTATGAAATGAGTTCAACAGGTACAGTCGTCAGCTTCGAAATGTATTCATCTTACGTATTGTGTGAAGTCTTGATATAATAATCGCTCAACGGTCTAAATTATCGATGAGATTTTGAACAGAGTTAGCGCTTCTATTACCTGGTCATATCTTGATAGACAAAACGCGAACACCACGGCTTCATCAAAGCAAAATCATCAGATAGAAGTAAATTTCGAAAGCCTAGGTTGAATAGAGATACGAACATACACATAGCAATCAGTTTTTGTAATTATTACCTTTTAAACTCAGATGACCTTTTTCTCTTAGTTCATCATTTAATTCGAATTCTTTGATTAGCTCTTGTACTTGTTCACAAGTATTAACGATTTCCAGTGAAAATTCAAATTTCGAATCGAGTTTCGGAGTTTTCAATATAACTTGCTTGAGAAAAAAAAAGAAATACACTGATTAGTCGCCGTTCAAAGCGTATGAATAACTTACATTTTGTTCTTTTTGAAGGAATTCCAATAGTTCTTCGGTTGTTAAATAAATCGAATCAATCGTATGGTTCTCGTCGTTTTTCGCGTATCTTTACAGATAAAAATGAAGTTCGAAATAGAAGATTTCTTTACTTACTTTTTCATTATATTATAGAGATCACGACGACGAGTTAACGTGTGAAAAAATTCGAGGAAATCATCGGCTGTTAGTAATCCATCTCCACTTCGATCGGCTTCCTAAATACATTCAAGAAAACACATCACCCAACGTTTTCATTGGCTCCTTTTACTTGGAATAGTCTGTCGAAGTCTTTCGCCGAAACTTTTGCATTGAGTGAATCGGTTAGCAGCCGTCGACATTCGCTTTTCGATAACGAATTAGAACCATCTTTATCCGCCAAATAGAAGTAATTCAATATCCAACTGCAAGAAATTTTCAAGTCTTTTCTTCAATAGTCTTTCACTCTTACTTAGCTTCGTTAATCAAGTGTCGTTGTCGTTTTTGTGCATGCGTTTCCATGAGGTATCGAAGACCTTCGACCCAAATATTTCGAATTTCTTCATCATTTGCAAGAAAGTGAAGTTCATTCCGATAATTATTGAAAAATATCGAAAAGGCACATCGGTCCTAGAAGAAAAGTTCCCACCATATGGCGACCACAATTAAATGCATAATTACGTTATCTTGCTCGAGGAGTTTATGTCGAACTAGTCGATCGAATGTTCGTGTATTGAGACCAACGCGCACTTCATCAATTTTATTTATATAATCTACGTGGGAAATCAGAAAGACAAGATGATTCATTGGATTCATATAGTGTATACGCACAGCGTGTTGGCGCACCGAATGTTTTATCTAGTTGATGATGGGTGATGAATTGTTCACTTTTATGCAAATAAAAACGACGAGATGATTTTTCTCCATCGTGTTTGCGTTGCACTAATACAGTGCCTAGCTTTAATTCATTTAGGATGTTGTTCATTTGTTCTGGATTCATCATAGACATGTTGTTCTTTTGTTGAGAATGAAGTAAATACTAAAAAGATTGAATAGATACTTTGTACCCTAAATTTCAAAGGTCAGATTCACTGAGTTGTTTTGAAAAAATACATTCGCTGTGTCAGCGCAATTTCATATGAGATATATTTTTCAAAACAATCCTTCTTTTCATTCGATAATAGACCATGTGCATGCTCGTAGTCGATGTATGGATCATATGAAGAGAGAAAAGAGAGAAATGCAGTGTAAACACAAATCAAATAATACATTATGTTTTTTTTTCTTTCTTCTTTTCTTTCTATGTTGAGTATATGGTGACAACGAGCAGACAAACTTTTTTTTCAATGAAGTACGGTTGATGATGACATATTTTATGCGGACTCGGTTGTTATTCGTTCTATACCGAAAGGAAGAACGAGAGAATATCTCTCTTCGTCAGACATTTATCTGAATGAAAGTGTAGCAATGAGTTTATATGTTAATAAATAATGCTCTGACCAGTTTTTTTTTCATTTCCGCATCAATTATATCATGTACGCGATTTACTGTCTCTTTCTATCTGTGAGCAAATACCATAATGAACTGATGCAATATTCTAGAGCCGCGTGTTTATGTTTTTAATAACAACTCAAGGCATATAATAAGCTAGAGATGCACTGTATGCATACGAAATCACATATCTTTCTCTCGCAATAGGTCAATAAAATTCAGTGTACTGTTGAGAGAAAAAGTACCACCATTCGATCTTTCTGCAATCAAGACTGTTCCGTTTGGTAGTAAGATGACTGTATGGTATCTTCGTCCGTCATTCATTTCTCCTATATCATTGTTAATACCAAAGGGAAGAAACATCACTCTTCTTCGCATTCGAAATCGAGCTGCTCCCACTATTTTGAGACGCTTATGATGTGATGAATAATGAAATAGATTACATTCACTCTCAATACTGATCAGTTTAAATTTTTGTATCCTGTTATTGCCTCATGGTCACAAACAAAAAGATTCTCATAGCTGTCAAAACTCAGACCCCACAGTTGCTTCAATTGATTTGATGCTGGGTTTGTCGACTGTGTACATCCAAATAAACACCGAAAACTATTGGCATTTTGATCTATAACACGATTATTACCAGAATCAACAACAAATAAATAACTTCCATTATCTAACACAATCGTAGTTGAACAAATCAATATCATTGTTAGTTACACTTGCTGATTTACTACCAGCTTCTGTTATGGTATTTAATTTCCCGAATGCCAACAACTGTACTCGATGATTTTCGCAATATGTAACCTACAAATCTCTATTAGTATCAGTCATAAATATTCCACGAGGATTTCTCGGTGTTGTTAATATTGACCCTGCAACGCCTGTTCGTACTACTGCTGGATTCCAGTCATTAGTTAATGTTTTAGAAACTATTCGCAGTAAACAGTACTATTAATACTAATAAATATACCCAAACATGATGAGTTTGTTACCTTAGCAGAAATGTTTCTTGTCGATGATACACTTATGTTATTTACATCGATAGACAAAATCCAAAGGAGAATATTCATTTACGCTACTAGTGATAATATTAGTTACGGCATTTGAGCTCCATGACGTATTTAGGTAGAGTTTCGGTGGATTATACGACACGCCTGAAAACTGAGAAATAGTGCAGAAGTAGCGCATTACTACGAAGAACATTATGAACAATGAAGATATTAATACCTGTTAGCTTTTTATTACGATCTAAAGCATATAATGTTTAAACAAGAAACAAAGTTCAATAATAGAATTTCCCCTATTAATCATGTAAGAAAAAACACCGAATGACTTGCAACCGAGAATATAAACGATGTCGTTTAAAGCGCATCTGAATTAGTGGGAGTTTGCTTTCCATATACAAACGCTGAGTACAACTGATGGCGAGCGAGTAGTAGATATCTTCTTGACATTTTTGATTATTATATTTGGGTGCAAAAATTTTGACAGAATCTTATCAGAATCCAGTGACATTTTTGTCCTCTGAAACTCCGATTATTGTTGGTGAGTGAAGCATAAACCAATACAAAAGTGATACTAATTTGATTAAAAAACACAGGCCCTCTGAGCAACAACGACTTTACTCAAGAAATACCAGTTGTGCCAACTAGGATATTTTCGTCAAGGTCTCACTTTTCATACTACATCTGACAAAAGAATTTATTTTCTTCTTTCTTAACATGACCAGTTTCCGACATTCCATCACTGACAGACGATCTTTCGGTCGAAATCATTGCTAAAGCTCATGTAATATGCGTGAGCGCAACATATGCGAAAGGCGTACACCCTAATCACCTTCTTCTCGTTTAAAATCAAGTTAAATATCAGTAAGAATATGAGTGTTGGATGAAATCCGTATGCGCACTGCGAATTGTAATGGTACAAACATAATGAAATTTCTTGAATTTAATCAAAAATATGTCTTGAAAGCATCAGTTTGTTATCCGAGAATGATGATGGCCATTATTTTAAGCTATGATTAGAAGGAATCTGACACTTGTAAAACAGATTTGAGATGTGGGATACGGGGTTAAATTCGATATATAAACGTCACATTGCTTCTATGTTTATGCTCTGCATTACGCTCACCAAAAGTCTAAGAAGAAGCGACGAATACTTCTACTAGTTAATTCGTTCTTTTTTTGCACTATGTCGACCTCATCTGCATCGATCAACTTTGCTTTGATTAATCAAGCGATCAATCGCTATGTAACCGTTGTTCTTCTAACCATCGGCGTTATTGGAAACGTTCTGAATTTATTCATTTTCACACGTAAAACGTTCCGTAACAATATCTGTGTGATTTATTTCTTAGCAGCGACCGTGTCGGATTCATTTTCAATTGGCATCGGTCTTCTTACTCGTTTGCTTAACGGATACGGCGTTGATCCATCACAAACCTCCAGTATATTCTGTAAATTTAGATTTTTCATTACCTATACAGCTGCATTCACTGGAGGATGGTTTATCAGTCTAGCTTGCATTGAACGGTATTTGTGCTCATCAGCAAACGTTCATCAACGTCGTTTGGTTACAGTCAGAAAAGTCTACGCATCCATATTTGCGGTGGTTGTCTTCGGAGTTCTGGCGTTTGGTGAACAATTTTATTGCATTGACATCAATCAACAGTTATTCAGTGCACCGCAATCCTGTTATCAATTGAAACAGAACATTCCTTGTCAAATTGTGGACAGTTTAATGCAGTTTTTATTGGAAATTATCTCGCCTACATTGATTATGACTATTTTTGGGTGTTTAATTTTGAGAAATGTTCGGGAAAAACGTCGCCGGATCAATGTATCACCCTCAACAAATTTCAGTACTCCGAAAATGCCATTGCCAGTAGAAACGAATCGAAGTGCGCAACGACGAGAAGCACAACTATTGATCATTTTGCTCATACAAGTAAGACAAAATTATGAACTTCTGCTGTTTTCTATTCGCTTTTGTTCATCTAGGTTGTAGTCTTTATTATTTCGACATTTCCTGTCAGTATCTATAAATTCTATTCTGTGGCTACAATTTATGACGTAAGGTCAAATCTCCGACAGTCAATTGAAAATACGATATTCAATATTTGCGTCATCTGCTTCTTTTTGAACAACACCATCAAGTTTTACATCTATACCTTGTGTGGTAGTGTTTTTCGGAAAGAATTAATTAAGCTATTCCGTCGACGATAGATTTACAAATACAGACATAGACTATGCGACCATATACACATTCATCCTTCATTTTCACCCGACGAAATTAAATAGATTTTTGTCATATTTATGAAAACAGGAGAAAAAAAACAGTCGCAATTATTTCCTAGTATTTTCATTGTATGGTGGAGGTGGCGGGCAAGTTCCATAATTGTTGGCTGGTGATGGTGGCAAAGTTATAACACGAGCAGAAGCCGTTGCACTCCGCTTTTGATAGCGTCGACATAGGGCACTACATATCGAAAGGAGCAAAACGATCACAAAAACAATACCAGCAATAAGACCGATTAATTCGCCAAGAGTAAAATGTCCCCAATATCGATCTTGGATACAGTAGGGATATGAACCACAGCTTGTGCTTGCTGGAAGTGAAAGTAAAGTATAAAAAGAATAGGTTTTCAGGATGACACTCACTCGGACAACAGAATCGCAGGATTCCTGATCCACAACATCGACCTAAAAAGTATTCAACTCGTAAAATGGTATTGTTTTAAACAACTAACAGACCTGGACGACCGTTATAGGCCGTACTGCATCCGGTATTATCATGACAACAAGATGGACAATCTGCTGAAATGTCTGATGGAGCACAAATAAGAATCGTGAAAATAAAAAACGCAGCGAATGAAGCAAAAGACCGCATGGTAGTTGTTATTTTTCGAATAGAATAACAAATGTACTGCTTAGCATTTATATCGTCGGCTGTTTTTACTTTCTTTCATACAATCTTATCATCTGACAGAATTACTAACATCATATCTTATTGGAAAACTTGTGTCAAACAGCAAATAGAGTCATATGTCATTTTTATTTATCTTTTAAAATTTTTTGCAACGTCTTCTTTCCATCCTTGCAAAAATTTTTCTTTCATATCTCCTTTTGGAATTCGAAAAGCAACTTCAGCGCCACCCTGATCCTTTTCCCAATGTCCTTGATGATCTACAGTTGGATTTAATCGAAAAATTCGAAAATAAAATTTGAATAAACCCGCCGTATGAAATCGACATTGACCATTCATGCCGAAATGAACCTGATCCGTCCAATCGTATTTGTAATTCGAATTGAATATCAATTCATCTTTGTCCCAAGTGAAATTAATTTCGCCATTTTGAATGAATTGTTTCATCAAAGCGTTCGCTGATGAGACCCAATTGTCCAAAAACTCTTCTTGACGCGCTGTTTTGATCAATCGACGAATCGTTTGCGCAATGCTTGGCAAAGAATACGGGTCCGGAAAGTCTTCAGACAATGGCTGCATAATCGCATTTGCCACGTAATTTTTGCCAGCTAATCGTTCACTTACATCTCTATAATTAATCAGCATGTAAACCCGTCGAATGCATTGATCTTCTGTTGGAAAAGCATGCTTGTTTAAAAGAAGAATGATATAAGCACACAGAGCATCGTGAGGTGTCACATCGGAATTGTTAACACTTGCTAGATGATGTAATCGAGCTATTTGCTCGGATGAGAATGACATATTCAAAGGTTCGGTTGTTGAATGTTCCTCGGTAAGACGAGCGAGAACTGTTTCTCTCTTCTGGACGTTTTGGTACAGTTTTAAAACCGATGATGAGGTAAACTCGCGATTTTCTGTACGTAATGGATGTCGTTCGAATGTTGGCCGAGGAAGACTCGGTTCTAATTGTTGATATGTTTGAGAAAGGTCATTGAGGAAATGAAGATTCGAATTAGCATCGCCCATAATATGACAAAAGCTCACGCCGAATATGTATTCATTACTGCGTACCAATCGAGTAACTTTCAATCGAAGAAGTGGTTCGATTTCAGGCTTGTATTGAACTGAATCAATGAATGGTTTTAGAACATTTTCATCATCGATAATAACGGGTAAATTTGGCCATTGATCAAGTTCATCATTCTCAGCGTAAGTAAAAGGAATTGATTGATCAGAAAATTTGATGTAATAATCTTCATTATTCTCAACAATGACACGACCGGTGACAATAGGCCAGAACGAAAGAGTACGACTAATCGCATCTTTTAATCGATCAACGTCAAGTGACGGATACACAAAAACGTTATTAATACCACCAAAGATCAAATCAGTACTTAACAACTTAATACGACGGTCATTTCCAGATGGAGAACTAGCACTTATCAATGAGAGCATCTTCGGTTAATGCCGTGTTTTGCGTTAACTCGTCGTATCCTGGTGTATTTCGAAATTACTACTTTTACTATTATCTTTTCTCTCTTTTTCTTCTCGCCATTCATCCCGTTGTGTTAAGTAAATACACTGCAGATGGCGCTCTTGGACAGAATGTATATCACCATCAAAGTCATATACGACGATAGGAATTCTACCATCGGATATCCTTCATAGTCTACGAAATCATGTTGAACTGTGCAGATTTCAATGATACGTGAGTATTGTTCAGTGTTCTGTTCGATAACTAATATTCAAATGTGAATATATGTTTATTGAGAAAGAGGTTATGCAATATCAGGTTTGTCAATTGAATACTCATTCATCGAATAACAGGAAGCGAATTATTTGAGAATTTGAATGTTTTCTATTCAACCATGAAAAATGTTAATCTTGTAAAACTAATGATCTTTCGAGTTCTTTCATCGTTTCATTAATCATATCTTCGTAAACTAAAACCGAAGACATCTGTGCCTTTACAGAAATCATGTCTACCATCGCTTTTACCAATATAACATATCGTATGGTTGCTTCCATTGGTCCATATTGATAAAGTAAATATTTCCATAATAAAGTGACGAAAATATCTTGAATATGCAGAGATTCGAGTGAACTCTCCAAGGATTCCATTTGGTACGATTGATCGAATGTCAACGGCGAGCAATTACTTGAAAATATCATAACAAGTAAGAAAAGTTTGATGACAATATCATTGAGATCGAAGTTTTTGTGAATTTTGAAGATGCTTATCAATAGTTGTTCATCGAAAATCTTGTAAAAGGAATGGGTTAACCAAGGTTCATTGAACAAAACAAGTTTTCTTGTGACAAGAAAACCGTTGAAACTCGCACAAGATCGAATATTATGTTTTAGAAGAACATGTCGAGTAGTATTCGAAACGGATTGGAAATATTTCAATCGTTTCAGTGAAGACTCCATCCAGATCAGGCAATTACGAAAGAAATCCAATACTAATAATGCTTTTCCTCGTCGTTGAATCGGTCGAGTCGATTCTTGGTCCAATAACGATTGCTGTTGAATAAGAAGTGTTTCCGTCTCATGCAGATTGATAAGATTCGAGAGAAGAGTCCACTGATCACGTGTCAATGTCGACCGATCATTTCGTAGAAGGCCAAGAGGTCGAGGCTATTACAAAGCAAAATCACCATTTCGATCAATAAAAGGTAAATCTTACATGCGGCAATTCTGTTGGACTAAAGACTTGAATTAACTGACGATTCATACCGACTGCAAAACACTTCCTCAGACGACATGCCGCACAATGACTACGTTTTTTTTTCGTGATGTTACAATTCGATACTCGTGGGCATCGCAATGTTTCCTAAAAGAAATCAATTGAACTTCTATACCTATATGAATAGGAAGAAAGGAAATCATGTACAATTGCTCGAAATGCATTTCGACGAAAGAAAATTTTGCATGACATACACGTGAGCACATCATAGTTCATTCCACGAGCAGTATCACCACAAACATGGCAAACCAAAGTTCGTCGTTGCAGTTCCGCAGTCGAGATAGTATTTGGTTGCATTATTCAGAGTGAACGATAAACGACACAGCTCAAAGCGACTAAATGAGAGCAAGCAGAGCGAAAAATATGTCCTTTTTCTAATCTATTATTTATATGGGATCTGTATGTATCTGATGACAAAGTGATAATTAGTTTTTCAGCTCAGCAACCAGATGAATTAGCAATGTTGAATCATGATGAATGTAAGAAGATCTTTGAGTAACTAAAAATACATAGAAGTCAATTATCTCGACATTATTATACACAAATCAAACTATTTTCCAGAGTTCTATTTCCGTACAATTTGCTAATGTGTATCTGAATATTTATTTAAAAGTCATTCCTTTTATTTTGAATGGATCAACAAGAAAAGAAGTGCACCATTCAGCTTCAGATCAAAGTTCATTTTCATATCGTTCGTTGTCAAATATAGCTCACATTTCTTATTCATCATCGATGAAGCAAGCCAAGGAGAAAACTTTGTAATTCTATCGAGGTGAATTAGCGCTGAGAAATTCTGATCAGCTTATTGGAGGAAATGATGAATATTAATTATATGACGTGTTTTTTCTTTACACTTGAGACTCTTCTTTCATTATTGTTTGTATATATAGTCGTACATAGGTCGAAAAGTTCGGACGTCTCTCTTTTCCGCATCATTCGTAAAGAACTTGTTTTATGTGAGACGTTTCTTGGGCTGAATTTATTGATTATGAATAAACACTGAGTAGCGGACAATACTTTATCACACAAGCATTTGATAGCTAGAATATTGATGAGAAATGTTTTTTTTTATCATATGGCAATGTCTTCATTTTTGATCTGCGTGGATCTGTAAATAGATAAAAGTGACACGACTTTCTCGGTCTTGTATAGAATAAGTAGGTCGACATACTTTATCCAGAGCAACGAATAATTGATCGATTCTATCTGGAAATTTTTCGATTGGGTCGTAATAGTTTCCACGCATCTGTGCGTCTCTTTCAGCCAGCCAATCTTCTTCAGTGAATCTTTTCAGTCCTAAGTAGATCGAAAAGAACAATACGAATGAAATTGCGCTGAATATTTCTTACTTGACCATCTTTTAAATCTTTCGATGATTAACGCTAACAAGTCTTCCTTTCTGTCGTCCACATTCTCTCTTGCACGACGAAAATTGTCATTGATGATCGATACAAACATGCTCAAGCAAATGAAAACAACCATAAAAATGAATAAACTGAAACAAAATGGACCAAGAAATGCTGCAGCTCCACTCAGTTCATGTGCATCAAACTTCATCAAGGTCATTTCGAATAACATCTGAGCTGTTCCCAGTAAACTTGAACATTCAGGTAATTTTGAAACGAATAGTAAATAGAAGAGACAAAGAAATGATAGGAACACAAACGAAAACACGAACGAGAAGGATAGTAACTCTTTGGCTGCGCACTGAAGAGTACGAATAAATAAGATAAGCTTTCTATTGATACGGCATAATTTGATTAATTGAATTGTACCGAAAAAGCAACAAAAACTCAATAAATCTGTTAAAGCATTGTTAATAAATGAGGCCAATTGTAAGTTGATATAAACATATCCATTGGTCTTTTCGAATAATTTTCCGATTCGTCGGCTTTCTCCGAGTCGCCAAATATAAATGCCAACACTTGCCCATGAACAAGCAATTATTCCAGCATCCACATACGACCAGAATTGATTGAAATATTTCCATTTCATCTCTATCAACAGTCGTACTTCGAGCCACATGAAATAACATATGAATAACATGTAAACTATCGTGCATACTAACTGAAGCGTCGACGTAAATGCTGAAAAAGAAAAAAAGAGAACTGCTATTGAGAATATGTAGTGAAGTATCAGTACCATAAAAACTGATCGGCTCGAAACGAGCACTGCTGAATACTCCGCCCGATGAGAGGAATTCAGCAAGGAAAGTGACAGCCGTAAATAGAGCAACATTTGGATTGTACAAAGTCATTTGAATGATGACAGCTCGAGTCTGATTGTCGATCCAGCCAAGCTGATGAAGTTGGGAAAGATTGCTTTGAAGATCACTCAAACGACCACGAAATTCATACACATAACCACCACTTGCATAACTTGCATGATCTCCAACATACACATATGTATCCAATACATCACCAGACTGATACGTAAACGCTTTTGTAACTGACGAATGGTAGATTTGTGATGATTGATTTTGCCATGCAGGAGCATACGACTGTTTGTCTTCGTTCCGCAAACTATAATCAGCTGCACATGTCAAGGAGAACACATTCTGTTGCCGACATAATTCAGCTTTGACTCTTAACTGTCTCATCGTTGCCCATCCAATCAACCGATTTGATTTGTCGTCAATGAAACCAGTGAGACTGCGCGGTGGATCGCCATTATACCATTGTTGAGCTCGCAGATTGATAATTAAACTCTTTTCCAGCCAATTCCAGTATTCATCTATTGTTGCAATCTAAATTGACCATAACACTCTACAACATAAACATATTCACAAAGGGAACATACTTTTGTAAAGTCCAGGTTCTCTTGTCTAGAGTCGAGCAAATACTTTCGTAAATGATCGACTTGATAGTATGCACTTGAGTCGCGATTCGAATAGATAACAGCACAAAGGACAACCAGAAAACACACATACAACACCATCTCTCGGATGACATTCCGTATCTGGATTTCTTTCAGTCGATCATCACGCAGTTGACTAATTTGATGATCACTGAGGCGCTGAGCACGAATTGAAGATGGATGAACAAACAGAGATTTCTTCTACAAAACGTAAATTAAAACTGAACTCGCAAATAACCGAAAAGTTTAAACCTGAAACGTGTGAAGATACTCTTCATCAGCCGCTAAATCAACTTGATCATCACCTAACAGCCCAGCTGGTTCTGTTTCACTAGTTGACTTTCGAAAAAAGCAAGCGAAGAATATGGCCAATGCAATGATCTAAAGTTAGAACAAATGGATTGTATTCGATCAAAAAGAGATGCAAATCTTACTTTCAACGGTTGGGTGAGGAGAACGGACGAAAAGATACCACTGACAACGGATACCAACCATTTTTGTGTTTTCGCGTCACCAAACTCGATACCACGAGCAATAATAAACAGAATGGACACGCCAACTAATACCAAACACAATCCATATGCAATCAAAATACACCACCATGGAAACATCAATGTGTTCTTCTTTTTCTTGCTATTCTTTTGTCTATTAGGATCATTCTGAACATTCAGTTTGACTTTTGACAACGCTTGCCGTAGCGGTGACTGTTGTTGTCGACGAGGACGAACACGCCGAAACAGCTGAACAAGCAACAAACTGGGAATCAATGCAAACATTTCAACAACTATGCCGATTATGATCTACAAATAAACGAAAACACAAAACTAAACTAACGAGACAAACTGTGTGACTTACCTGCTGAGAACTGAAATGAACAGTGCCAAACGATAAGCTAGTTGTGTTTCTTGATTTCACCTCGTTTGATAAGTCATAGTACATAATATTGAGAAACATCGAAACAAGCAATAGAACAAAACAGCATGTACATCGTTGCACACGAGTGAACTGGCTCGATGGTGGACGCGAAAAAATCGAAAACCAAAGATGACCATCAGACACACTGTGATAAGTTCGCTTTGTTAACACAAATGAGAACTGACTCTTTTCCATATCACTTGCAGCATGCAGAACACGTTCGATCTTCCCATCATCTTTCTCAACTGCAAACCATCGTTGACTGATGAAATGAAACGTTTGCATAGTTTGAAGATCACGAATGATGATATATTTGAGGAACCACGACGATGAGGAACCTTTACCACTGTTGTCGTGCCAAATACGAATACAATTCAACTGTCCCAATGATTTGGGAACACTCATAAGGAATGCATCAACTCCACCTCGCTGCAAAACGCGACGATGAGGATCAGCCAATGTTCGAATGTGAGTATCATTCTCATNAACATCGACAACAAGTATCAACACTTTGGTATGCGAATCTAGTTGCACACTTCATTTCAGTCATTCTGGTTGTTGATCTTTGTAGTTAACAACAACTGGCATAGTGGTTACAACTACTACTCCTATCACAACACCATCAACGACTTCGACAACTACACCACCAACTACAGCTGGTAAGTCATAAAATATCACAATGGTGTTTCACATTCATGTTGTGTGTTGTCTAGCTCCAACAACAGCTGGTCCAACAATTCCAGGAGTGACAACTGAGTCCACAGTTGCTGTCATGTATCCAAAAGATTTCGTAAACTTTTCATTCTATGTGAATATTTGTATAACTCTGCTTTCTATCTATTTCTCATAGGAAGATGCATGTAAATCATCTGTGGCAACGATGACAGCTGTGATATTTGCTGCATTGGCTCCTATACACACTATGGTTATGTATGCTACATTCATCAAACTGGAGAAGAAGTTCAGTCCATCTCGTGTGAATGCTGGTACACGGCATAAGCTGCGAATGAAAAAAATTGTACAATCATGAAGACAATGTCACTGATTTGAACTGCTATTCGCTTAATGAAAGAGTGTGTACTTTTTTGTGAGTGCTTCTATTTCTAAATAAAAATAATCGGGTGGACAAGTTATGTCTCTGTGTCATTGAGTCGAACTACTGAGAATGAAGACATTTTGCGAATATGGTTGAACTTCATATCGGTTTGAATTGAACATGAATAAATATCGTTGAATAAGTCAGATTATTATTCTTTGCTCTCAAATGTATATGACGATAACCTACAAAGAGAATAAGATAAATACAAACATCAGCATCAAGCAAGGTTGAACCTGTCTGCATTGCGGTGACTGGTAAACAAAAATACGCTAATCGATCGTCACGAGAAAATCGGTCATGATCATATACATCGAATCGGATAAGACACATTTGTGGAAAATGAATATCAAATTGGAATGTTTCATTCCATTCCGGATCGAAACCATTGTCATCAATTTTCTTCGTTTTCTTCGTTTGTTTATCACATGGTATTCCGTGTGTCGAAATGAGAACATACGGGTCAGGAATATCGGTCGTCGTTTCATTAGCTCGAGGGAGAAATTGTCCGCTAATCACTTTTATGATCAAACGTTGCGGGCGTTCGAAAATACATTCGGATAGTGCTGGTGGTTTGACAATAAAATTTAAAGGATTAAATAATGATTTATCAATATCAGTGAGATATTTTGGTTTCAATACGTATCCACAACCTCCATTATCCATAAATTTCCCGTAAGATAATGACATGACCGAGTCGTCGTTTTGATAATTCAACGCCACCATTTGTATACCGAAATTCCAAGGCGCTATCGGATCCGGATTGCTGGAATCTTGTCGAAGACCATCGGGATACATTCGAAGCGAAGATTTTAATGTTTGTTTAATCACACCTAATGGATCGGCTTTACATGCTCGGTCGAAATGCTTTTCTGCAAGATTGGCTGAATGATAACATTCATGACTATTTTTTGCCTTCTCATAGTCAAGATATGGAACATTTTGTAAATAGAAAAACAGATATGGTGACTTCTCTTCGGTTATCTAAACACAGAAGATTTAATTTCGAAAGAAAGAAAACAGAGATTTATACTTGTGGTTCATCAACTGGAGCAGGAAGTTTCACGCCCTAAAAACACCCGATCGATGTATTCCGATTTAACAAAAAACTGATTTTTCTTCTACCCGAATCAGCACTTTATATTTCAGATCTTCCGGTGACGGTAAAACCGATGAATCCTTAGTCAACAGTGGTTCCGAAATTAATCGATCTATTCAAGCAAAGAAGAACATTCTCCAACGCTATGTTTTTCTTGCTAGAGATCTTTACCACCAAGTATGCGTTGTAAGATTCGTGCCATTTCATGCTGTTGTTCAATTGAACAATGATTCTCCAGATCTAGTATCACGGGATACGGTGATGCTTTGAAAAGATTCGGTTCAATAAAACGAATGATTGATTCGAATAAACATGGTTTAACCAGTGTAAAGCCATGTTTGACTATCGGTCGGCCATTATCACCATCGTAGCAGTCGATTTCCACGGCACGACAACCAGCTTTCAAGGCGCGATTATATGCTTCTGGATTACTGTCACCAACAATTTGATTATTAAATAAATAACTATAAAAGGAGTATAACAAATACAGTCGTCAGCTTCGAAGTATATCCATCTTACGTATTGTGTGAGGTCTTAATGTAATAATCGCTCAACGGCCTAAATTATCGATAAGATTTTGAAGAGAGTTAGCATCTCTGTTACCTGGTCATATCTTGATAGACGAAACGCGAACACCACGGTTTCATCAAAGCAAAATCATCGGATAGAAGTAAATTTCGAAAGCCTAGGTTGAATGGAGATGCGCGAACATACGCATAGCATTAAGTTTTGTAATTATTACCTTTTAAGCTTAGATGACCTTTTTCTCTTATTTCATCATTTAATTCGAATTCTTTGATTAGCTCTTGTACTTGTTCACAAGTGTTGACGATTTCCAATGAAAATTCAAATTTCGAATCGGTTTTCGGAGTTTTCAACATAACTTGCTTGAGAAAAAGAATGAAATACACTGATTAGTCACCGTTCAAAGCGTATGAATAATTTACGTTTTGTTCTTTTTGAAGGAACTCCAATAGTTCTTCGGTTGTTAAATAAATCGAATCAATCGTATGGTTCTCGTCATTTTTCGCGTATCTTTACTGACAAATGAAGTTCGAAATAGAAGATTTCTCTACTTACTTTCTCATTATATTATAAAGATCACGACGACGAGTTAACGTGTGAAAAAATTCGAGGAACTCATCGGCTGTTAGTAGTCCTTCTCCGCTTCGATCGGCTTCCTATATACATTCAAGAAAATACATCACCCAACGTTTTCATTGGCTCGTTTTACTTGAAACAGTTTGTCGAAATCTTTCGCCGAAACTTTTGCATTGAGTGAATCGGTTAGCAGCCGTCGACATTCGCTTTTCGACAACGATTTAGAACCATCTTTATCCGCCAAATAGAAGTAATTCAATATCCAACTACGAGAAACTTTCAAGTTTTTCTTCAATAGTCTGTCACTCTTACTTAGCTTCGTTAATCAAGTGTCGTTGTCGTTTTTGTGCATGCGTTTCCATGAGGTATCGAAGACCTTCGACCCAAATGTTTCGAATATTTTCGTCATTTGCAAGAAAGTGAAGTTCATTTCGATAATTATTGAAAAATATCGAAAAGGCACATCGGTCCTAGAAGAAAAGTTCCCACCATATGCCGACCACAATTAAACGCGCATAATTACGTTATCTTGTTCGAGGAGTTTATGCCGAACTAGTCGATCGAATGTTCGTGTATTGAGACCAACGCGCACTTCATCAATTTTATTTATATAATCTACGTCGGAAATCAGAAAGACAAGATGATTTATTGGATTCATATAGTGTATACGCACAGCGTGTTGGCGAACCGAATGTCTTATCTAGTTGATGATGGGTTATGAACTGTTCACTTTTATGTAAATAAAAATGACGAGATGATTTTTCTCCATCGTGTTTGCGTCGCACTAATACAGTGCCTAGCTTTAATTCATTTAGGATGTCGTTCATTTGTTCTGGATTCATCATAGACATGTTGTTCTTTTTGTCGAGAATGAAGTAAATACTAAAAAGATTGAATAGATACTTTTTACCCTAAATTTCAAAGGTCAGATTCAGTTAGTTGTTTTGAAAAAATACATTGCCTGTGTCAGCGTACTTTCATATGAGACGTATTTTTCAAAACAATCATTCTTTTTATTCGATAATATAGACCATGTGCATGATCGTAGTCAATGTATGGATCATATGAGGAGAGAAAAGAGATAGATACGCTGTAAACACAAATCAAATCATACATTATGGTTTTTTCTTCCTTCTTTTCCTTCTATATTGAGTATATGGTGACAACGAGCAGTCAAACTTTTTTTTTCAATGACGTACGGTTGATGATGACATATTTTATGTGGATTCAGTTGTTATTCGTTCTATACCAAAAGAAAGAACGAAAGAATGTCTCTCTTCGTCAGACATTTATCTGAATGAAAGTATAGCAATGAGTTTAATAAATAATGCTTTGACCATGCAGTTTTTTTCATTTCCGCATCAATTATATCATGTACGCGAGTTACTATTTCTTTCTAATTATCTGTGAACAAGCGCCATAATGAACTGGTGCAATATTCTAGAGCCAGGTGTTTATGTTTTTAATAACAACTCAAGGCATATAATAAGCAAGAGATGCACTGTATGCCTACGAAATCAAATATCTTTCTCTCGAAATAGGTCAATACAATTCAGTATTGTTGAGAGAAAAATTACCACCATTCGATCCACCTGTAATCAAGACTGTTTCATTTGGTAGTAAGATGGCTGTTTGGTATCTTTGTCCGTCATTCATATCTCCCATCATTGTCAATACCAAAGGAAAGAAGCATCACTTGTCTCCGCATTCAAAATCGAGCTGATCCCACTACTTTGAGACGCTCATGATGAGATGAATAATGAAATAAATTACACTCACTCTCAACACTGATCAAGCTAATTTTTGTATCCTATCATTGTCTTGGTCACAAACCAAAAGATTTGCATAGCTGTCAAAACTCAGACTCCACAGTTGCTTCAATTGGTTCGATGCTGCGCCGATCGACTATGTACATCCAACTAAACACCGAAAACCATTGGCATTTTGATCCATAACACGATGATTACCAGAATCAACAACAAATAGATAACTATCATTATCTAACACAATCGTAATTGGACAAATCAGTATCATTGTTACACTTCCAGATCCACTATCAGCTTCTGTTGTGGTAGTTAATTTTCCGAATTCCAACGACTGTACTCGATGATTTTCGCAATCTGTAATCTATAAATCTCTATTAGTATCATTCATAAATATTCCACGAGGATTTCTCAGTGTTGTTAATATTAACTCTGCAATGCCTGTTTCTACTACTACTACTAGTTTCCAGTCATTAGTTAAAGGTTTAGAAACTATTTAATGCCGACCACTCAGTGAACAATGCTGTTAATACTAATCAATATACCCAAACATGATGAATTTGTTACCTTAGCAGAAATATTTCTTGTCGATGATACGACTGAGTTTTTTTTTACATCGATGGACAAAATCCAAAGGAAAGTATTCATCTACAGTACTATTGCTAATAATAGTTACGGTATTTGAGCTCCATGACGTATTTAGGTAGAGTTTCAGTGGATTATACGACACGCCTGAAAGCTGAGAAATAGTGCAGAATTAGCGCATTACTACGAAGATCATTATGAACAATGAAGATACTAATGCCTGTTACTTTTTATATGACGATAAAAAGCATACAATATTTAACAAGAAACAAAGTTCAATAATAGAATTTCTTTTTTTGATCATGTAAGAAAACACACCTTATGACTTGCAATCGAGGATATAAACGATGTCACTTAAAGCACATCTGAATTAGTGGAAGTTTGCCCTCCATATACAAACTCTAAGTAAACTAATGACGAAAGAGTAGTATATGTCAGCAGGACATCTTTGGTTATTGTATTTGGGCGCAAAAATTTTGACAGAATCTCATTAAAATCCAGTGACATTTTTGTCCTCTGAAATTCCGATTACTGCTGGTGAGTGAAGCATAAACCAGTACAAAAGTGATATTATTTTGATTAAAAAACACAAGCCCTCTAAGCAACAAAGGCTTCACTCAAGAAATACCAGTTATGTAAACTGGGATATTTTCATCAAGGCCCCACTTTTCATACTACATCTGAGGAAAAATTTAATTTCCTCTTTCTTGATATGACCAGTTTCCGACGTTCCATCGCTGACAGACGATCTTTCTATCGAAACCATTGAGAAAGCTCATGTAATATTCGTGGGCGCAACATACGCGAAAGGCGTACACTCTAATTACCTTCTTCTCGTTTAAAATTAAATGAAATACCAGTAAGAATATGAGCGTTGGATGAAAACCATATGCGCACTGTTAATTCTAATGGTACGTGCATAATGAAATTTCTTGAATTTAATCAGAAATATGTCTTGAAGGCAGCTTCTCATCCGAGAATAATGATCACCATTATACTAAGCTGATTAAAAGGAATCTCACACCTGTAAAACAGATTTGAGGCGTAGAATTCGAGGTTAAATAAGATATATAAACGTCACATTCCTTCTATGTTTATGCTCTGCATTACGCTCACCAAAAGTCTAAGAAGAAGCAACGAATACCTCTATTAGTTAATTCGTTTCTTTGCATTATGTCGACCTCGTCTACATCGATCAACTTTGCTTTGATCAATCAATCAATCAATCGCTATGTAACCGTTGTTCTTCTAACCATCGGCGTTATTGGAAATGTTCTGAATTTATTCATCTTCACACGTAAAACGTTCCGTAACAATATCTGTGTGATTTATTTCCTAGCAGCGACCGTGTCGGATTCATTTTCAATTGGCATCGGTCTTCTTACCCGTTTGCTTAACGGATACGGCGTTGATCCATCGCAAACCTCCAGTATATTCTGTAAATTCAGATTTTTCATTACCTATGCAGCTGCATTCACTGGAGGATGGTTTATCAGTCTAGCTTGTATTGAACGGTACTTGTGTTCATCAGCAGACGTTCATCAACGTCGTTTGGTTACAGTCAAAAAAGTCTATGCATCCATATCTGCTGTGATTGTCTTCGGAATTCTGGCATTTGGTGAACAATTTTATTGCATTGACATCAATCAACAGTTATTCGGTGCACCGCAATCCTGCTATCAATTGAAACAGAACATTTCTTGTCAAATTGTGGACAGTTTAATGCAGTTTTTATTGGAAATTATCTCGCCTACACTGATTATGATTATTTTTGGATGTTTACTTTTGAGAAATGTTCGGGAAAAACGTCGCCGAATCAATGTATCACCCTCGACAAATTTCAGTACTCCGAAAATGCCATTGCCAGCAGAAACGAATCGAAGTGCACAACGGCGAGAAGCACAACTATTGATCATTTTGCTCATACAAGTAGGACAAAATTACCAACATGTTCTGTTTTCTATTCGTTTTTGTTCATCTAGGTTGTAGTCTTTATTATTTCGACATTTCCTGTCAGTATCTATAAATTCTATTCTGTGGCTACAATTTATGACGTAAGGTCAAATCTCCGACAGACAATTGAAAATACGATATTCAATATTTGTGTCATCTGCTTCTTTTTGAACAACACCATCAAGTTTTACATCTATACATTATGTGGTAGCGTTTTTCGGAAAGAATTAATAAAATTATTGCGTCTAAAATAGAGTTACAAATACAGACATACACTATGCGACCATATAAACATTCATCCTTCATTTTCACCCGACGAAATTAAGTAGATTTTTGTCATATTTATGAAAACAAGAGAAAAATGAAAAAAAAACAGTCGCAATTATTTCGTAGTATTTTGATTGTATGGTGGAGGTGGCGGGCAAGTTCCATAATTGTTGGCTGGTGTTGATGGCAAAGTTATAACACGAGCAGAAGCCGTTGCACCCCGCTTTTGGTAGCGTCGACATAGAATACCGCATATCGAAAGGAGCAAAACGATCACAAAAATAATACCAGCAATAAGACCGATTAATTGACCAAGGGTAAAATGTCCCCAATATCGATCTTGGATACAGTAGGGATATGAACCACAACTTGTACTTGCTAGAAGTAAAAATAAAGTATGAAAGGGATAGGTTTTCTGAATGATATTTACTCGGACAACAGAATCGCAGGAATCCTGATCCACAACATTGACCTAAAAAGTATTCAACTCGTAAAATAGTATTTTTTTTAAACAACTAACAGACCTGGACGACCGTTATAGGCTGTATTGCATCCGGTATTATCATGACAACAAGATGGACAATCTGCTGAAATGTCTGATGGAGCACAAATAAGAATCGTTAGAATAAAAAACGCAGCGAATGAAGCAAACGACCACATGGCAATTGTTATTTTTCGAATAGAATAACCGACGTACTGCTTAGTATTTATATCGTCGGCTGTTTTTACTTTCTTACTTACAATCTTATCATCTGACAGAATTATTAACATCATATCTGATGTGAAAACTTGTGTCAAACAGCAAATAGAGTCATGTGTCATTTTTATTTATCTTTTAAAATTTCCTGCAACGTCTTCTTTCCATCCTTGCAAAAGCTTTTCTTTCATATCTCCTTTCGGAATTCGAAAAGCAACTTCAGCGCCACCCTGATCCTTTTTCCAATGTCCTTGATGATCTATGATTGGATTTAATTGAAAAATTCGAAAATAAAATTTGAATAAACCCGCCGTATGAAACCGACATTGACCTTTCATGCCGAGATGAACCCGATCCGTCCAATCGTATTTGTAATTCGAATTGAATATCAATTCATCTTTGTCCCAAGTGAAATTAATTTCGCCATTTTGAATGAATTGTTTCATCAAAGCGTTCGCTGATGTGACCCAATTGTTCAAAAATTCCTCTTGACGTGCTGTTTTGACCAATCGACGAATCGTTTGTGCAATGCTTGACAAAGAATACGGGTCTGGAAAGTCTTCAGACAATGGTTGCATAATCGCATTTGCCACGTAACTTTTGCCAGCTAATCGTTCACTCACATCTCTATAATTAATAAGCATGTAAACTCGTCGAATGCATTGATCTTCTGTCGGAAATGCATGCTTGTTTAAAAGAAGAATGATATAAGCACACAGAGCATCGTGAGGTGTTACATTAGAATTGTTACCACTTGCTAGATGATGTAGTCGAGCTATTTGCTCAGAAGAGAATGACATATTCAAAGGTTCGGTTGTTGAATGTTCCTCGCTAAGCCGAGCGAGAACTGTTTCCTTCTTCTGGACATTTTGGTACAGTTTTAAAACCGATGATGAGGTAAAATCGCGATTTTCTGAACCTAATGGATGTCGTTCGAATGTTGGCCGAGGAAGAATCGGTTCTAGTTGTTGATATGCTTGAGAAAGGTCATTAAGGAAATGAAGATTTGAATCAGCATCGCCCATAATATGACAAAAGCTCACGCCGAATATGTATTCATTACTGCGTACCAATCGAGTAACTTTCAATCGAAGAAGTGGTTCGGTTTCAGGCTTATATTGAACTGAATCAATAAATGGTTTTAGAACATTTACATCATCGATAATAACAGGTAAATTTGGCCATTGATCAAGTTCATCATTCTCAGTGTAAGTAAACGGAATTGATTGATCAGAAAATTTGATGTAATAATCTTCATTATTCTCGATAATGACACGACCGGTGACAATAGGCCAGAACGAAAGAGTACGACTAACCGCATCTTTTAATCGATCAACGTCAAGTGACGGATACACAAAAACGTTATCAATACCACCAAAGATCAAATCAGTACTTAACAACTTAACACGACGGTCATTTCCAGATGGAGAACTAGCATTTATCAATGAGAGCATCTTCAGTTAATGCCGTATTTTGCTTTAACTCGTCGTATCCTGGTGTATTTCGAAATTACTACTTTTACTATTATCTTTTCTCTCTTTTTGTTCTCGCCAGTCATCTCATTGTGTTAAGTAAATACACTGCAGATGGCGCTCTTGGACAGAATGTATGTCACAATCAATGTCATATGACGATAGGAATTCTACCGTCGGACATCTTTCACAGTCTACGAAATCATGTTGAACTGTGCAGATTTCAATGATACATGAGTACTGTTCAGTGTTCTGTTCGATAGCTAATATTCAAATGTGGATATATGTTTATTCAGAAGAGGTTACTCAATAGCAAATTTACCAATCAAACTCATTCATCGAATAACAGAAAGTGAATTATTTGAGAAATTGAATGTTTTGTATTCAACCATGAAAACTGCTAATCTTGTAAAATTAATGATCTTTCGAGTTCTTTCATCGTTTCATTAATCATATCTTCGTAAACTAAAACCGAAGACATCTGTGCCTTTACAGAGATCATGTCTACCATCGCTTTTACCAATATAACATATCGTATGGTTGCTTCCATCGGTCCATATTGATAAAGTAAATATTTCCATAATAAAGTGACGAAAATATCTTGAATATGCAGAGATTCGAGTGAACTGTCCAAGGATTCCATCTGATACGATTGATCGAATGTCAACGGCGAGCAATTACTTGAAAATATCATAACAAATAAGAAAAGTTTGATGACAATATCATTGAGATCGAAGTTTTTGTGAATTTTGAAAATGCTTATCAATAGTTGTTCATCGAAAATCTTGTAAAAGGAATGGGTTAACCAAGGTTCATGGAACAAAACCAGTTTTCTTGTGACAAGAAAACCGTTGAAACTTGAACAAGATCGAATATTATGTTTTAGAAGAACATGTCGAGTAGTATTCGAAACAGATTGGAAATATTTCAATCGTTTCAGTGAAGACTCCATCCAGATCAGGCAATTACGAAAGAAATCCAATACTAATAATGCTTTTCCTCGTCGTTGAATCGGTCGAGTCGATTCTTGGTCCAATAACGATTGCTGTTGAATAAGAAGTGTTTCCGTCTCATGCAGATTGATAAGATTCGAGAGAAGAGTCCATTGATCACGTGTCAATGTCGACCGATCATTTCGTAGAAGGCCAAGAGGTCGAGGCTATTTCAACGCAAAATCACCATTTCGATCAATAAAAGGTAAATCTTACATGCGGCAATTTTGTTGGACTAAAGACTTGAATTAACTGGCGATTCATACCGAGTGCAAAACACTTCTTCAGACGACATGCCGCACAATGACTACGTTTTTCTTTCGTGATGTTACAATTCGATACTCGTGCACATCGCAATGTTTCCTAAAAGAAATCAATCGAACTTCTATATCGATGTGAATAGGAAGAAAGGAAATCACGTGCAATTGCTCGAAATGCATTTCGACGAAAGAAAATTTTGCACGACATACATGTGAGCAAATCATAGTTCATTCCACGAGCAATATCACCACAAACGTGGCAAACCAAAGTTCGTCGTTGCAGTTCGACAGTTGAAATAGTATTTGGTTGCATTATTCAGAGTGAACAATAAACGGCACAGCTCAAAGCGACTAAGTGAGAGCAAGCAGAGCGAAAAATATGTCCTTTTTCTAATCTATCATTTATATGGGATCTGTATGTATCTGATGACAAGGTGATAATTAGTTTTTCAGCTGAGCAACCAGATGAATTAGCAATGTTGAATCATGATGAATGTAAGAAGGTCGTTGAGTAACTAAAAATACATAGAAGTCAATTACCTCGACACTATTACACTCAAATCAAACTAGTTCCAGAGTTCTATTTCTGCGCAATTTGCTAATGTGTGTCTGAATATTTGTTTGAAAATCATTCCTTTTGTTTTAAATGGACCAACAAGAGAAGAGCTGCACTATTCAGCATCAGATCAAAGTTCATTTTCATATCGTTCGTTGTCAAATATAGTTCACATTTCTTATTCATCATCGATGAAGCAAGCCAAGGAGAAAATTTTGTAATTCTGTCGAGGTGAATTAGTGCTGAGAAATTCCGATCAGCTAATTTTTTCTCCTTCCTCTTCTGTTTTCATACACATTGCATCGGAGGAAATGATGAATATTAATTATATGGCGTGTTTTATCTTTACACTTGAGACTCTTCTTTCATTATTGTTTATATATAGTCGTACATAGGTCGAAAAGTTCGGATGTCTCTCTTTTCCGCATCATTCGTAAAGAACTTGTTTTATGTGAGACGTTTAGGTTAAATTTATTGATTATGAATAAACACTGAGTAACAGACAATACTTTATCACGCAAGCATTTGATAACTAGAATATTTACGGGAAATGTTTTTTTTAATCATATGGCAATGTCTTCATTTTTGATCTGCGTGGATCTGTAAATAGATAAAAATGACACAACTTTCTCGTTCTTGTATAGAATAAGTAGGTCGACATACTTTATCCAGAGCAACGAATAATTGATCGATTCTATCTGGAAATTTTTCGATTGGGTCGTAATAGTTTCCACGCATCTGTGCGTCTCTTTCAGCCAGCCGATCTTCTTCAGTGAATGTTTTCAGTCCTAAGTAGATCGAGAAGAACAATACGAATGAAATTGCACTGAATATTTCTTACTTGACCATCTTTTAAATCTTTCGATAATTAACGTCGACAAGTCTTCCTTTCTGTCGTTCACATTCTCTCTTGCACGACGAAAATTGTCACTGATGATTGACACAAACATACTCAAGCAAATGAAAACAACGATAAAAATGAATAAACTGAAACAAAATGGACCAAGAAATGCTGCAGCTTCACTCAGTTCATGTGCATCAAACTTCATCAGGGTCATTTCGAATAACATCTGAGCTGTTCCCAGTAAACTTGAACATTCAGGTAATTTTGAAACGAATAGTAAATAGAAGAGACAAAGAAATGATAGGAACACAAACGAAAATACGAACGAGAAGGATAGTAACTCTTTGGCTGCACACTGAAGAGTACGAATAAATAAGATAAGCTTTCTATTGATACGGCATAATTTGATTAATTGAATTGTACCGAAAAAGCAACAAAAACTCAGTAAATCTGTTAAAGCATTGTTAATAAATGAGGTCAATTGTAAGTTGATATAAACATATCCATTGGTCTTTTCGAATAATTTTCCGATTCGTCGACTTTCTCCGAGTCGCCAAATATAAATACCAACACTTGCCCATGAACAAGCAATTATTCCAACATCCACATACGACCAGAATTGATTGAAATATTTCCATTTCATCTCTATCAACAATCGAACTTCGAGCCACATGAAATAACATATGAATAACATGTAAATTATCGTGCATACTAACTGAGGCATTGATGTGAATGCTGAAAAAGGAGAAGAGAACTACTATTCAGAATACGTGATGGAATCTTTCATTACCATAAAAACTGATCGGTTCGAAACGAGCACTGCTGAATACTCCGCCCGATGAGAGAAATTCAGCAAGAAAAGTGACAGCAGTAAATAGAGCAACATTTGGATTGTACAAAGTCAGTTGAATGATGACAGCTCGAGTCTGCTTGTCAATCCAACCAAGTTGATGAAGTTGGGAAAGATTACTTTGAAGATCACTCAAACGACCACGAAATTCATACACATAACCACCACTTCCATAACTTGCATGATCTCCAACATACACATATGTGTCCAATGCATCACCAGACTGATACGTAAACGCTTTTTGAATTGACGAATGGTAGATTTGTGATGATTGATTTTGCCATGCAGGAGCATACGACTGTTTGTCTTCGTTCCGCAAACTATAATCAGCTGCACATGTCAAGGAGAACACATTCTGTTGCCGACATAATTCAGCTTTGACTCTCAACTGTCTCATCGTTGCCCATCCAATCAACCGATTTGATTTGTCGTCAATGAAACCAGTGAGACTGCGGGGTGGATCACCATTATACCATTGTTGAGCTCGCAGATTGATAATTAAACTCTTTTCCAGCCAATTCCAGTATTCATCTATTGTTGCAATCTAAATTGACCATAACACGATACAACATAAACATATTCACAAAGGGAACATACTTTTGTAAAGTCCAAGTTCTCTTGTTTAGAGTCGAGCAAATATTTTCGTAGATGATCGACTTGATAGTATGCACTTGAGTCGCGATTCGAATAAATAACACCACAAAGAACAACCAGAAAACACACATACAACACCATTTCTCGGATGACATTCCGTATCTGGATTTCTTTCAGTCGATTATCACGAATTTGGCTGATTTCATGCTTGCTCAGACGTTGAGCGCGATTCGTAGATGAACGAATAAACAGAGATTTGTTCTACAAAATATCAATTAACACTTAACTCGCAAAGAATAGAAGAGTAAAACCTGAAACATGTGAAGATACTCTTCATCAGCTGCCAAGCCAATTTGATCATCATCTAACAGCTCAGTTGCTTCTTTTTCACTGGTTGTCTTTCGACAAAAACAAGCAAAGAAGATGGCCAATGCAACAATCTAAAGTAACAAGAATAAATATGCTGTTGAAGCAGTGGAAGGTGTAATAATTTTACTTTCAATGGCTGGGTAAGGAGAACCGACGAAAAGATACCACTGATGACGGATGCCAACCACTTCTGTGTCTTCTCGTCACCAAACTCGATACCACGAGCAATGATGAACAGAATGGAAACGCCAACTAACACCAAGCACAATGCATATGCAATCAAAATACCCCACCAAGGAAGCATCCATATTTTCTCCTTGTTCTTCTTCTTCTGCTGCTGCTCATTGACTTTGTTTACAACATTGGGTTTGATTTTGTGCAATGCTTGACGCAATGGCGACTGTTGTTGTCGACGAGGACGAACACGACGAAACAGCTGAATAAGCAACAAACTGGGAATCAGTGCAAACATTTCAACAATCACACCAATCATGACCTGCAAACAAACGAACACACAAAACTAAATAAAAAAAACCATAAATTTTTTTACTTACTTGCTGAGGACTGGCATGACCAACACCGAATGACAAACTACCTGTGTTTGTTGATTTCGCTTCCTTTGATAAGTCATAATACATGATATTGAGAAACATGGATACAAGTAACAGAACAAAACAACATGTACATCGTTGCACACGAGTGAACTGACTCGATGGTGGACGAGAAAAGATCGAAAACCACAGATGACCATCAGACACACTGTGATAAGTTCGTTTCGTCAAGACAAATGAGAACTGATTCTTTTCCAGGTCACTTGCAACATGCAGAACACGTTCGATCTTCCCATCATCTTTCTCAACTGCAAACCATCGTTGGCAGATGAAATGAAACTTTTGCATTGTTTGAAGATCACGAATGATGATATATTTGAGGAACCACGATGATGACGAACCTTTACCACTGTTGTCGTGCCAAATACGAACACAATTCAACGGCCCCAAGGACTTGGGAACACTCATAAGAAATGCATCAACTCCACCACGCTGCAAAACGCGACGATGAGGATCAGCCAATGTTCGAATATGAGTATCATTCTCATCACCATGAATGACAAAATGAACATTCGATTTCGTTCCAGCATCCCGTCGTTGACCAGTGAACACAATCATCTGATAGAAATAGTCGTCGTTCTTGTTATTATCGGGCAAGATAGTCACGCCTAGTTTCTCCACGTCTTTCTNAAGAAATGCATCAACTCCACCACGCTGCAAAACGCGACGATGAGGATCAGCCAATGTTCGAATATGAGTATCATTCTCATCACCATGAATGACAAAATGAACATTCGATTTCGTTCCAGCATCCCGTCGTTGACCAGTGAACACAATCATCTGATAGAAATAGTCGTCGTTCTTGTTATTATCGGGCAAGATAGTCACGCCTAGTTTCTCCACGTCTTTCTTGTCGTAGTACCGTGCATAAATGGCCAGAAGTACATAGATCACACAGACAACAATCACTGTCAAATAGATGGTTTTGTTTTTCATGAAATCAGCATTAGCAAACACATAGCTCCAATTGACTGTCTCGGGTAGAACAGCATATCCACCCGCGAATGTGGTCAAATGAGTGGAAAAACATTGAGTTTGATAGTGATTGGTCAATGGGCCAACGATGAGTCCATCTGATTGCCATTGTTGATTTGCATCGATATAATAACAACCCGATGTGTAGATTCTTAGTCCATAGTCTGAGGTGAAGTTCATTGGCTGATCGATGATAGGAGGACTGGTAAGTGATGTGTTCGAACAATGTGGAGTGATCTCAGTTGCATTGAGTTCTCTCAGACCAAAGATGATCGACTGATGACCGTTTGTTTGTTGATTATCGACATAGTATGTGTAGACACTTTCATTCGTGATATTATCAGGACAGAGAAGTGTCCATCCATCGATGAGTTTGATGGATGAACTCAGCTGTGGCACTTCATCGAATCTGTAGATGAATAAATAGGCTAAACTGGTGTCTAATGGCTGAATCTCCCAATGAACTGACACTGCAAGTGATGAAGACAAACTCAAATGATGTAAATCAAACATGGCAGCAGTGGGTGTAGATTTGAGTGATGTGACATTTTGCAAGATCATCGATGGAACGATGAGATTGGGATCACGAGGAATGATGATCTCGATCGAGTGATTGTTTGCTGTTTGGATTGGAATATCACTGTGATTCTGATCGAGAATGGAGAATGAGAGTGATCGAGAGAGATTGGTGTTCGATGTTGACTTTGAGTTTCCAAAGGGTGCCAATGGTTCCATCATAGACTAAAACAGTGGATCGGTGGAGAAGAATGAGAAAGTATCATAGTACTGAACTGACTCGAACGAAGATTTTGTCATTTGCAGTGAGAGATGAAGTGAACTTGTTGGGAAGTGTCACTTGTCCAGTTCCGATTATTTTTGTAAGTGAACTCGAAAGTGATTGAGTTGATTTGGTCTCGAGTGTCATGATCACTTGTGATGTTTCGATGGTGAAATCTTGTCCAACGTTGAGATGAACGTTCAATGTTGAAGTCAACAGTGAAATCAATTGTGTCATCTTTGATTTGATCTCATTCGCCAGTTGTTTTTGATAATAAATGACTTGATTTCGTTGTATTGTCTCTAAGGAGAAGTCATCACCATCAGCAAATAGACCTAAATTACACATGACTGCATCGAGGTTCTCGAGTAAGCGTCAATCTCACTAGGATTTGACCACGCTGCCTCGACATCAGTATCATAATTATCGGGAAATTTCGTTGTTCCAACTGCATCGGCATCGAGAACACTCGTTCTTTCTTGTAGTGGTCCGTTGGCAGCCTATACATATTGATGATAGTTGTTCATTAGTTTTACAGTCTATATCATACGTTGATGAGATTAGCAGCACATTGAAGAAGGTCAGCTGATGCAAGTCGAACATCTTCGTATGCAACTTTCGTTCGCATCGAATTCAAAGCAAATGCTAACTCATAACATCGATTCGCTACACTTGCCTATATACAAGAAGATAAATGAATGTAAGAGAGAGAGAGAAAAGTGTAGATCATACCAAAGTTGTTCTTGTCAATTCATTTGTTGCTTTTGTGAAGTGAGCCAACGTTGATGCTTGTAGTTTGATGCTGTTTGATGTTGTGATGGGAATATTTGTAATGAATGGGATAAAGTAATCTCGAGTTACAGCACGAGAGTTCTGTTGGCTGTTGAATTCTTCCAATGCCGACTGATTCAATAACGTTGATGACTATAATGTTGCAAAATTAGAACATGGCATTCAAAGGAAAATGTGATTACTTGTTGTCCACCTTCACTGAATAGTGATGACACTGATATACTCGCAGTGGGAATACCATCTAGAGAAAACTAGTGTTAACCGATTTCAATGATGCGATATGAGTAGTTACTAGTAGCAGCCGCTTCAATAGTTTCATTGTTCATTCTATTGAACTGTTGTGATACCGAACTGATCACCTGTCCAACAATATTTTGATTTCCACTTCCAAGCAAATTTACGATGGCATTAGGGGTATTACTGGCTGATGAGTTCCAAATGTTATTTATCAAATCATTTATCGCAAGGGTATCAGGCAAAACAGTTACTGATGAGAGATTCGTTTCAGTGACACAATTCATTTGATCTCGAACATGAACGACTAAGCTAAGCGATGATATTTGATCATCATCAGCTGGTAAGTATAGTTGAAATGTTGGTAAATTCGAATAAGCAACAATTGTCATCTTGCTTTGGTCATCGGTCGTGCCTTATAATAGAGAAGATTATTTCATTTACGCCTCAGAAAAACAACTTTGATATACCGTAGACAGTGTAGTCTTTGATTCCATCTGCATCAAAGAAATCCTTGCATGAAATAGTGAATAAAGTACTTGTTGTTCCATTCAATGGGTCAATTAAACACGAGCCATTCGCTGGTGGTTGATTGATGACGAAATTCAGTGAACTGACACTTGTTTCATTTGTGAAAGTGTAGACAACTTGAAAGCGCCAAAGCTGGATTTGCGGATTGGACAGGAATAGTTGATTCGTTGCGGTGAAATTACTTCTCCGGATGCCTATAAATTATGGTGAAGTTTTTCCTTTTCGAGAAAGTACATGATTCATTTACCGAAAAACCAGATATTCTCATAGACACTTGTTTCATTGAACACTGTCCATCTAGTAGAATCGGTAGTCAAATCCTCTACGCCTTGATAAATCTTCCATACGATGCTTTCGATTCTGTTACAGTCTCCTGGACAAGCCGAAAACAACGCCACTTGTGTTGTGGGATTAACTAGCTGGAATTCTAGATTCGGCTGACACATCGTCCATATCACACAACTACAAACAATAACGCAATATGCAATGCGCGCACACACACATCAAAACAAGAACAGACCCTATAAAGACCATGTGTGGACGAGTATCTTCCACTTTCACAAGAACATAGCCACTTGCTTGCCGCGAAGAGTTCTCACGGTTCTCCATTTGAACCATAAACTGATATGTTCGATTGAATTGCAATGCATCGGCAAGAATGGTGAACGACGAATCAAATGCATTATCGAATCTCCACGCAGTTCGATTGGACAAACAAGATGGATTCGATGGATCATTCCTTGGGTCATTAATTGTCAACAATGAACCTCGTAGGTTGGGAAACATCGATGAGCTATAGATTCGACAATAGTATTTATATTTCCAGTTCTACATGACAAATAGACCAGACGAGTGACACAACCGTGCCCTCAACAGAAACTTACAGAAGCATTGAATGTATTTTGATCAAGATCAACAGAGTAACTTCCAGGATCTAGTTGCAGCTCTTGATGATTGCCACGTGTGACCATGGATGTGCCATATTGAAGTAAATTAGCTGTTATGCCTGATGAAGTGATCTGAACATAGACGACAGCTGATGCAGAAGTGTTTGTGACATTAACCATCGCAGCAGTTAGTGTCATCTCATATAGACCATAGGGCAAGGTTCGTGCTGGAATAAAAAGTTCACTGAATGTTGTTTGTATTGTTGGATCTAGTGAAATTTTGTTCAAACACGTTGAAGTACAATTTTTGATTGTCCATTGAGTATTCATGAATGATGTTCTGTTACAATTTAATTCAATGCGTGAAACTATTGTAAAATCTTGATTTCGACGAAATTGAATCGGTGATGACACTGCAGTGGTACTTGGAATTAGTGTTATTGTAGGTGGTAGACACGCTAGAATTATTCGTATATAATTAGGGTAATCTATATCCAGGGAGACTCTGATATTCAGCATATTCAAAGTGATTAGTAAAAGTTCCTGCAACTCGACACGATTCGAATAGAAGAAATTTATTGAATATCATTACAAAAGTTATATTAATAAAATACATATGTCGCGCGCTCATGCATTCTCAGTTCTGGCTAACACCTTGATTCTATGATCAATCTATATCTTAACTCGCAAGGAAATGTATTACAAACTGAATGGCTGTCTCGAGTACGGCACTGTATTTTCCAAAACATTTCACTTTAGTACTATCTTTTACAATGCTGTCCCTATATAAAATTGCTTTTGAACAAACCTTTCACAGTTATCAAAGTGATTGGAGTCGTTGTTGTAGTTTGATTTGATGATGATGCTTGGCCTAAAAACAATCAAATTAGCATGTCACACATGTCAAAACAATAATCATTATTCGGCTCAACGTACAGTGCTTCACAGTTATTTTTACAAAGGAGACGACAGGTCTTGTTTAATTCAGATTCAATCCAAAAACAAAACCATCTTAGTGTCACAAAATTATATAAATCTTGAGGAGACGTACACTTAAAGGAAAGGAAAGATCTATATTGGCACCTCGGTCAAATCCACCATGATTTTTATTATTAGAGTAGAGCCTTAGAAATCGATATGGAAGATACTATATGATGGTAGATTCGCCAAAGTGAACTTGCAGCAAATAATAGGTTTCTACAAGTGCAAAATCACCACTATACTGAACTACATTAATGCGAACACACGATAGTGACAGCAAAAGGATACTGTAGTACTCACTGCAATTTGTTAATATACCAAATTTTTGAACGCGATTATTATTCGTGTCAGTAACAAATATGTTCCCGTAGATATCAAAACTCATTGATGCTGGATATCGCAACCGATCTGATGCGTTGCCTATACCACTACATCCAACGATACAACGGAAACCATTTGAACTCGATCCTACAATACGATGATTGTAGCTATCCACGATAAAAACATAACCATCAGCATCGAGAACAACTCCAGTGGGATATGCGAGTGAGATAGTACGATTAGGCGATGTACTTCCTGCAACTGTAATGCCATAACGTTGTCCTGATCGAAAGAGCTGAATACGATGGTTGTATTGATCTGCTACATATAGATCAAAGTTCCTACCTACGAATATTCCCATCGGATGATTGAGGTAATTTGAACTGCTAAAGGCATAACCTGTACCAGCAACGAGCGTCATTGTTCTAGAGTAGTCATTCACCCATCTTTTTACCACCTGATGGTAATTAGGCATTGAACAATACACAACATCAGTAAGGTCAACAAATAAACCATAACATGATGAACCAATATACATGACAGGTACACTTGTATTTGCTATTGTTGTTCGTTTATCTACTCGACTATTGTAGAGTCCGTTGTCAACAAAAACATCACCATTGGTTGTGACAAAAAGTGAATTTGAATTCATCAAACTACCGTAGATGGATTGCGATGGAGTGGCACTTCCATTAGACCAAATTTGTACACGATACTTCGATCGATCGGCAACATAGATGGTGTTGTTGATGGTGACAAAGATACCGTAAGGTAATGGTCCGATGGTACCGTTGGTTGCATTAGCAAAGGTAGTGGCATTTGGATTCCACGAAGCATCCGAACAAAATTTCGGTTGATTATATGATGGAACTAAAATGAAAGTAAGTGAGTAGTCTTAGGTTAATTCGAAGATGATTATGTGAAGTAAATAAAAGCGTTGCTTTTCGCAGCATAGCAGCTAATTAGCATTCACTGACGAAAGTTATCGAGCAAGAGGTAAAATAACAAGTTGTAACTGAATTTCAAATTACTCACCACGACTATTATTCAAGCGAATAAATTTCTGAATACGACTGTTAGTAGTATCAGTGACGAAGATGTTTCCATAACTGTCAAAACTCATCGATGTTGGATAGTACAGCTGATTTGTGTTTGAACTTGCGCCACCAGTGCATCCAACAACGCAGCGAAAGCCACTTGAATCTGATCCAACGATACGATGATTGTATTTATCGACGATAAAGAGGTAACCATCGAAGTCAAGGACAATCCCAGACGGGTAAGAAAGTGGAATAGTAAGATTGATCGATGTGCTCCCAACAACTGTAATACCGGTAAGTTGTCCTGGTCGGAAAAGCTGTATACGATTGTTATTAGAGTCAGCTACGTATAAATCAAAATTAGTATCCACAAATATTCCCAAAGGATAACAGAGTTGGTATGAAGTAGATCCACAGCAACCGGTGCCCGCTATTGTTATGGTAATATTTGAATTACTCTGTAATGATTTTGCAATGACTTGATGGTAATTCCTCATTGAACAATAGAGAGTATCAGTCAGATCAACGAATAAACCATAACATGATGAACTAATATACATGACAGATACACTGGTATTTGTCATCGTTGTCGGTTTATCTACCCGACGATTGTAGTATCCATTATCAACGAAAACATCACCATTGGTTGTGACGAAAAGTGAATATGAGCTCATGTTGGTACCGTAGATGGATTGTGACGGAGTGGCACTTCCATTAGACCAAATTTGTACACGATAGTTCGACCGATCGGTAACATAGATGGTATTGTTGATAGTGATGAAGATACCGAAAGGTGATGATCCGACGGTACTGCTATTAGCGAAAGTGATTGCATTAGCACTCCACATTGTATGCGTATCAAGCTTCGGTCGATTGTATGAAGGAACTATATAAATGAGAGGAAAGATTCACAAAAATAAACTTGTGAAGAAAAGCTATATTTATAAGATTGTCGTACAATTTCTTGAGGGTAAAGACAAGGGTAAAGAAGGAAATATGATCAAATGACGTGACAGATAGAGGCTTCTCGTCGGATGGTTACCTGTTTGCACTGGAGACGATGTTACGACAGTCGATTGAGTAGTCACTTTCGTTGTTATACTGGACTGAACCGTAGCCGAGAATGTACTCCCTAAAACTCATATTATTTTTAATGGGTGAAAGCAAAATGTCTCTTTACCACTATATTGACTTGCAGTGCTTTCGGTGTCTAAAAGAAAACGAAAAACTTTCAGAACAACAACTAACTTGTATATGACGCTAAACATTTCTCTAGTAAATTCTATCCTGTGTGATAACATGTGCTGCAGTTGCGCAATTTCTCGAAAGTCGATATACAGTAGGGTACAAAAAGAATTGCCAATGAACTTATCAACGCTCTTTTCACAAAAGCGTGAGATGTCGAAACCTTCTTGTGTTATTATATAACATCAACTCTAGAGTGTACAAATACATCACACATTAAGAGCTCTGTTCTTTCTGTGAATTTTCACGGGATAATACTCTGACTTCCTTGGAAGCAGTTGAAAAACTTATAAGTTACACATAAATTTTTCTATATTTTTCGCGTCAAAATGTTTTCCGTGCGTTGTGATCTTGACGTTTTTCATTGATATCGGATTTAGGATACCTTGGACACGGATTCGCACGCGAGTGTATTCCAACTATGATCACATTTTTTCCAGATGGAACTCGGTAAACTCTATCCATTCCAAAAAATTATATCCCGGGAAATATTCTTCCTTATACATAAGAATTAATAAAAAAAACCCTTAAAAAACATGAAAATCTCAGAAAAACACGCACCGATTCGTTTCTTCAATCCCAGCACTTATTCTACATACAACTCGACGAGCTCTATCGATTCCAATCATAAAAACATTTTCACCCACCCTCACCCTCGAGTTGTATCTGGAATAAGTACTGAAATGGTAACTGAAAGTGAAGAAACGAATCCGAGCGTGTTTTTCTGAGGTTTTCATGCTTTTCAAGGTTTTTTTTTCATTTTTGGTGGCTTAGGAAGGATATTTTCCGGAGTACTTTTTTAAAATAGATAGAACTCACGGAGTTCCATCTGGTACAAATGTTAACAGAGTTGGAATACATTCGTGTGCGAATCCGTTCAAGAAAAGGTCGAATCCGTGTCCAAGATATCTTACATTTTCCAGGTGCACCCTCATGTCATCAAGCTAAGCTAGAGACTTTTGAGACTAACAACATCTTTTACAAATTTTTAAACTTTCTACATTACTATCCATGAGAAATCAACCTTTCGAGGTATTATCGCGAATACTTTTACAAAAAGTTTTGACTAAATTGAGACTTTTATCCCTGTATTTGTCTATGGACATGAAACCTTAACTCGGTAGAGAGCACATGGGTGATCTAAAGGTGACTTTAAAACTTATTTCGGAATTTGTTGTTAAAATAACAGTATTAAACCTTACTCATATTAAATCTAAAAGCGTGAACATTTCCCTTCATCTGCTGAATAGTGAGGCTGAAATCATCAACTACCCAAATAGCGATTTCATGTACATATGCTAGGTGAGATCAATTTGTTAGCTTCAGTACAACACAGTGTTACACTTCTCGATTCTGAGAATTTCATCATAACCGGTATGAGCCAAGATCACCGTGATGCAGCAATTTTCAAACTCTTGTATGCGATCCCTACATCAGTAGTGTAATATGATCTATTAGTAACGTTACGCGCAGCTTGTACTCCGAGCATGAGCTATTTTTGCGAAACAATACAACAGATTTCAGCCAATATCAGCCTCGCTAAATACATACAGATAGTACCTAACATTCATAAATAAACCCAGAATGATAGCTAGAAACACGTTGGAAACTTCATTAAATAAAGTCTATGTAATAAACGGCAATTTTTTTTTGCACCCTATTGTGTACCATCAAACAATAAACATCATCACTAATCCTTGATTGCTTCTGAACTTTTCATCTTGGTGTACTTACCACATGACTCCGTGAAGAAATTAAATATCTGAATACGGTTGTTACTAGTATCGGCGACGAACATGTTCCCATAGATATCAAAACTCATCGATGTTGGATATCGCAACCGATCTGATGCGTTGCCTATACCACTACATCCAACGATACAACGGAAACCATTTGAACTCGATCCTACAATACGATGATTGTAGCTATCTACGATAAAAAGGTAACCATCAACATCGAGAACAACTCCACTGGGATATGCGAGTGAGATAGTGCGATTAGGCGATGCACTCCCAGCAACTGTAATGCCATACCGTTGTCCTGATCGAAAGAGCTGAATACGATGGTTGTATTGATCTGCTACATATAGATCAAAGTTAATATCCACAAATATTCCCATTGGGCGATTGAGGTAATATGAGCTATTATAGGCAGAACCTGTACCAGCAACAACCGTCACTGTAGAAGAATTGTCATTCACCCATCTTTTTACCACCTGATGGTAATTGCTCATTGAACAATACACAACATCAGTAAGATCAACAAATGAACCATAACATGATGAACTAATATACATGACAGGTACACTTGTATTTGCTATTGTTGTTCGTTTATCTACTCGACCATTGTAGTATCCATTATCAACGAAAACATCACCATTGGTTGTGACAAAAAGTGAATTTGAATTCATCAAACTACCGTAGATGGATTGTGATGGAGTGGCACTTCCATTAGACCAAATTTGTACACGATACTTCGACCGATCAGCAACATAGATGGTATTGTTGATAGTGATGAAGATACCGTAAGGTGATGGTCCGATGGTACCGTTGGTTGCATTGGCAAAGGTAGTGGCATTTGGATTCCACGAAGCATCCGAACAAAATTTCGGTTGATTATATGATGGAACTAAAATGAAAGTAAGTGAGTAGTCTTAGGTTAATTCGAGGATGATTATGTGAAGTAAATAAAAACGTTGCTTTTCGCAGCATAGCGGGTGATTAGCATTCACTGACGAAAGTTATCGAACAATAGGTAAAATAGTAAGTTGTAACTGAATTTCAAATTACTCACCACGACTATTATTCAAGCGAATAAATTTTTGAATACGACTGTTAGTAGTATCAGTGACGAAGATGTTTCCATAACTGTCAAAACTCATCGATGTTGGATAGTACAGCTGATTTGTGTTTGAGCCCACTGTATTGGTACACCCAACAACGCAGCGAAAGCCACTTGAATCTGATCCAACGATACGATGATTGTATTTATCGACGATAAAGAGGTAACCATCGAAGTCAAGGGCAACTCCAGTAGGATACGAAAGTGAAATAGTAAGATTGATCGATGTGCTCCCAACAACTGTAATACCGGTAAGTTGTCCTGGTCGGAAAAGCTGTATACGATTGTTATTAGAGTCAGCTACGTATAAATCAAAATTGATATCCACAAATATTCCCCAAGGCTGATTCAGCATATTTGCTGCGTATCCGGCTGAACCTGTGCCAACAACAATTGCGAATGCATTCGAGTTTGTTTTTAACGCCTTGGATACGATCTGATGACTGCTCTGCATCGAACAGTAAAGAATGTCCTGTGTATCAACAAAAGATCATTGCACTTCGAACACAGGTACAGTACCGGAACACCACTTGATGCCTTCGGTGTCCATCTATCGATCCGACCAGTAGAACTGGCGCTGTCAATATAAATCTCGCCAGTAGTTGTGACAAAAAGGCTGTATGGAGACGACAAATTACTCGAGAGATACCGTATCGGCCAAGTACTCCCTTGAGTCCACACAAGAACGCGGCTGTTTGCTTGATTGGCCACGTAGATGGTGTTGTTTGTATTAACGAAAATATCAAATGGGCTGGATCCAACTGAATTCACATTCGCAAAAGTGATGGCAGACGGACTCCACATTGTATAGGGCTGAAGCATCGGTCGATTGTAAGAGAATGCTAAGTGAAAAGGTAAAAGTTCTAATATTAATATATCACTCAATAACTAAAAAGAAATCCTATCCTCTGTATCTGCTGTTCTAAACAACTATGAATGAGCAAATTCAATTAGTAAGCCTAACATACTAAAGTGATATGTTCAGATGCATATGATGCTATACGCATTAAAGGTCCCCTGGTCGACTTATTCGTGAGCACAACATCGTAGTTATTGGTAGAAATACATCTTTCAAAACAGACACCATTTTTTATTTTACATAATGCAATCCTAGTGCTGAAGACTTGATATGGCGCCCATGAAGATACAAAAGAGACAAATGCAGAGTAATTATAGTTAGCAATGCCCTTCCTCATCTTATTATGAGAAGCTATTGTAATCATTCCGTACTTGTCGTTTGCTTCGTGATTATCATCATTATTATCCATAATCGACGCCAATGGATAAGTATCATTGTAAATACAATGAAAACAATTTCTTGTTTTCAATTTGTTCAACAAAATAGGAGAAAAATAAACTACGATGAAATGAATAGTTTTCTCTTTGTTTTATACCCTTTTTCAGCATTTTTCCTCTCATCGAGGTTCTTATTATTTGGGTACTCGTCCATTTTTCAATAAAATCACGTTGAATGACTTTGTCCGGAAATATTCACGTATGTGGTAAAAAGTTTGTTTGCGTCTCATTCGCTTAATTACCACAAAAAAATTTTTGTTTGATAATGCATTTTAGTTTACCTTTTAGCGCATTCAAATCGCCTCCAACGTTATGGAATAAATTAAACGTATGTTGTAGGACAATGTATAATATCCCAACTTGAGCTTAGCGCGTAGATAAAGATGTCGAAATCAGTATACTTCACATTTTCACTTTTCACACTCATCTCCCTTGATATTTACAAACACTTTGCTGATTTTCTCTTACACACATTTTTTCTTGTTCGGACGTTTAAATAAACATCCTCAGATAAAATTTATTTTGCCGACAGTTGAGACGAATTCTGGGAAAGTTGATTTAAAAACTACATGATAAATATCAGAAGAAATAGAAAGTCACAGAACGTCGCTCTGCTGAATATAGGAAGTGGTGTGGAATTTTCCATTTAAGAAATATTTTAGATTGCGCAAGTTCACACGAAAGTAGTGTTTTCGTCGAAGGAAGATGAAATCTACTCAATGTAAAAACACAGGGTAATATGTTATATGTCTTGGAGGGTCGAGATGAGATCAGCATTGTGAAACTACTCCTGACGCTCTTGGTGATTCATGATAGTTCCGATAGATCAATATGCAAAAGAGAAGACGCGCGTCTGAAGTCTCACTCACAGGTGCATAATTCGCTAGAATCGTTGGAAATTTACATATGTACGTTTGCATAACTGTCAATAACGATGAATAATAGATTACATGCTAAACCTAGTTTACCAATACGTTCGCAGTATAAATAGAGACAAGTGAACCGATTAGGATAGGTTCGGGTTTTATAACAGAATTAGTTTTATTATCGAACTATTTTCGATAGAATTTTATGGTATAAAATTTCGAGCAGAAAGAGATAGTATTGCAGTTTGTTTTCTGCGGTTGATTACCAAACGATACATTTGTTCACTCGGCTATTGCTTTGACCAGGCGTACATCCGAATGCACGATCAAATTGATCGAAATTCGACGTTGGGCCGACAGCTCTAAAGCAAAGTCAAAAGAAATTTATTTTTAGATTAGTAGTACGTAACTGAAATAAACCTTAATGGTCCCAGAGAGTGAACATCAGTCAAAAGTCGATTCAGAGCGTATTCGTCGGTCATTTTTGTACACCACGTGTGAGCATAATTGATAAAGAACATTTGTTCCGGTGAATACTTTTGTAAACCAGGTAATCGCTTGTCACTATTCACGTTCTTTTCTGCCCATTTTTCATAGGCCTACAAAGAGGAAACAGATTAGCGCATTTTTCACGAACATTATCGCATACAAAATAAGCTTCTCGTAAACCACCATTATCAGCAATATCTTCGCCTTGTGTTTGTTCTCCCTTTGACTATATCAAATAAAAAACAAATGCAAATCATCAGTCGATTGTAGTACACAAACTTTCTGATTGATTTGTTCGATCGTATAATTACTGTACTGATTGACAATACATGATTTTCGTTTAACAAACTTCTGAATTGTTTCATCTGTCCACCAGGGAACGCGATTTCCATCTTTGTCAAACTGTCGACCCGTATCATCGAAACCATGTGTAATCTCATGTCCAATAACCACTCCGATCCCTAAAGAGTAGCTGATCTTTGGCAGTACATGTCAAGTGATACTCACCGCCATAATTTAGATATCTAAATTAAATAGACAGATGTAAGAAATGTTCAAACTCTAGAGAAACAATCAATATACTTTGGTGCATCTTTGTCGAAAAACGGTTTCTGTAAGATTCCAGCAGGGAAAGCTGTAAACGATGTATTAGAATAGTCTTGCTCAGTTACTGGCAGAATTATCGTGTACGTACTGATTTGATTTCTCGAGGGCTCATAGAAGGCGTTCACTACACTAGGCGGTTCATCACCCCATGCTCTCTGATCGACCGGTTCACGAAGAAGACGAAAATTTTCTTTTGCTTTGATTTGTAATAATTTGAGAACATTATTAATATACGATGTACTAAATGTGTACTAAATTCAAGGATGAAATATCATACCGAAGCTCTTTCAACAGTTTCTACTTCAGCATAATCTTCTTCTAGTTTTGTATTATTGTCGCTTGCTAAATAATCCGGATAGCCGATCTTTTGATCGATTGCCAAGGCCTAAACGAGATTTTTTGTCATAATTTTCCTACCAACGAACTGATTACTTTTTCAATAGCTTTGTTCTGTGACTCTCTATCCATCCAAGTCGATTTATTGACCATACCAATAAACGCAGTTCGAATGTTATTGATCATTTCTAATGACTTAAGTAATTTGAAAAATGCGCAAGAAGGATTCTACAGAATATGGAACATACTTCAGTGCGTGCGTGTTCATCAAAATACTTTTTAATGTACAATTTCGAAACAGCAAACCCCATATTGCCATTGACATAATTACCGCAGATAATCGCACGTGTTGGTTCTGCTGACGTACCTCGAAAGATTCGATCGAATCGTTCTTTGAGCACCCGAACATTTTGAGGCATGTTCGCAGCACGATTCATCATAAATCTCCAGACAATATAATTCTGTAACGTACGTGCCGGCGTTTGTTCAAGAATCGACGTCACATTCAAAAGATAGTCGATTTCACTAACCGAAACGATTTCCGTACCATCCAGTGTGATTTCACCGAGCATATAAGCACGGCGAACGTAATCGTCGAAGTCAAACTAGAGATTCGCGAAACGAAAGACTCGCAAAGACAAACTTCATCACTGCTTACAGTTGTATTCAATAAAGATGTCAAACGGTTGACTGTTGTTCGAACTGTTTCATTGTCACGTGCGTGTTGTTCGGATGTTGTCCAATGGTACTAAAACGGCAGAAAGAAATGCCTATTTGAGTCAATTCTTGGAGATATTCACCATTGCAATCGTTTTTTCAAATTCGAATATGTCGATGACGTCTTGGTCAATCGCCGATGTATCGTTTGTCAAGCTTTTCGCTAGATCTGTCATCAGCTGTCGATAGGCGCTGGTCACCCGTGTTTCAGACATGTAATATTGTTTCTGGCCAAGGCCAAGATCACCTTGTCCCATCTGCAATACATAATTTCAATTCCTTGCTTCCATCTTCTCTAAAAACCTACTTCAATGTCGTATGTCGAGGAGTTTTTCTCGTCCGTGGATGTTCCCACGCGAAAGATCGGATTATTGTTATACTTTCGAAGAACAATCAAAATTTTTGTTAAATTAAATGTACTTCCGTCCCATGTTGAACCGAGAAGAATGGGCCAGCCGCCAAATTCAGAATTAACTAAGGAGATAATAGCATCGACACCATCAGCTTCAATGCCAGTTTCATTCGTGCATGATTTATACAAACGTCGAGCATTGACAACTGCTTCCGGTTCTACAGTTCCATTCGATGGAGGTGTTGCTAGTAAATCTGTGCAAAAGCATATCGTTCATAAAACTTTCATGTTTTCGTATTACGGTCAACGTACCGACAACATTGTAATCCAGTTCATGCCGTAATAAATTGAACGTATTCTGAGCACCAGCTAAATCGAAGAAGTCATTCTAATACTCAAACAATCAGAAAAGTTCGTATTTACCGTCATCCGGTATTCGTGTGTTTTTAATCCATGTTCCGCAAACGAAGTGGAAGAAATCCTCACAAGGATTTATAGACTCATCAATACTTTCGATTAAATAATCAGCTGTGACATCAAAGGTAGCTTAAGTTTCATCGAAATTTTGTACTTTACCTGCTTTGATACAGTATGGAGTCAGACATAAATCTTGCTTAGCTAATAATTTCAAAATTTAGCGCATTTCGTCAGAAAAAAAAACCAGAAACTATACCATCCGGTGTTGTGGTAGTCGTCGTCGATGCAGTGGTAGCCGTGGATGATGCTATTACGTCTTGAATTCGTTTATTTTTCTCGATACCGTAGAACGTGGCAAAGACTACAGTAGTAATTATGAAAAAACCCAGAAACACAGCTAGAACTCTTGGCAATGTGCATGAACTTGAAGGAGACTTGTCATTTTTACTAAAAGTATAAATCTTTCGAAGTTCATTGAGTGAAACTGATATACAAACTCGAGTATCTCTACTGTTCCTTGGCTGAAGCGACTTGTCATGACTGTATAACGTGTGACTTGTATACAGGACTAGAAGAAGGAGAAAAAGAATGTATACTCAAGTGAATCAAATGAAATAGATAAGACTGAGAGACAAAATATTATTTACCCGTATGTAACGATATCGGCACGAAGATATAGAGATGATGTTACACCTACTCGCAAACAAATTTTTCGTTTAAGTCTATTATTTGTGTGTATGTCTATTTACAAAAAATGACTTCTACGCGATAAGACAATGAAGTATAAAACAATGGAGAAAAAAACGAATGGAAGATCATTTTTTCGTATTTTTCGACCATGTTTTACACCGTTCTTTTCTTTGTCTTGTTGTCTTTGATATCAACTCCAAGCGTCGATGCTCTCTTATGTGCTAAGGACTGCAGGTTTACTGCCGATCTGAAAAATCCAACACCACCGACATGTACCTATGTTGATCTTCCGGTCAGTGAACAAAGTTGTCAGGTTGTATTGACAGTAGATTACTATTTGGGTGTAGTCAATGGCATTATGAACGCCAAAACACCGGCCACAGTTCCCAACTTCGATGCAGTAACGGTATTTTCTCTTGCTAGCGAAGCTACTAACTTAACTATTGAATTCGATTGTACCGATGCGGATAGATGTGACTTTAACTTCACGAGCGATCTTCTTAAAAGCGATTGGAATCAATTTCTAACCCAAGCGAAAAACATAAGACAAAATCTAGTTGATATGCTCATCAATCCTGCAACACTCGATTCAAATGATACTTGTTCTGCCGGACCAGCATGTTCTGGCAAGGGATTCTGTGGAGCGGTTTATCAGGTTTGGTCTGATGCTCAGAAACCCGTCTATAGTGAATATTGTGTAAATGCCACAAACCAACCCATCTTTGAATGGGTCCAAGCTTATGACCAACTTAAGACTGGTGAACTTATGCTGTACAATTGCAATAAGGATGGATGCACAGCAGTTTCTATGGCCGAAAATATCGCACGACTGTTAAATCGTAATTATATTTTACCATTCAATGTTTTAGTCCCACCTTCAACCTCTACGACCACCAGCACACCATCACCTACGCAAACATCACCACCAAGTGCGGCTAACTTTGTTCGTTTTGACAACATATCGATAATGATTTTTACATTTACTTCCATACTTTTCTTTTATCTATCCTAAATACAAAGATGAGAATTTTATCAGCAATCTATAATGATGTTTCTTATTTATTTTGATATGAAATCGAAGATTTTCTAATAAAGTCTAGCCGATGGATATAATAATAAAAGAACTTTTGCACACTAGTGAATGGTTTTCTCAAAATAGCAGATTGGCTAAAAGTCTGTTCTTCAATAAATTATTTATCAGATTTATGTAAATCTTCTTGTTTATTGAAGTCGAGTGTGGCCAAACGTTATAGTAGAGTTTACACATAATAGTCGCTGTTCGGAAAATAATCTTCCGGTAATTGGATTTGAGTTGGTCGCCCGTCGGGATATAACCAAGTTACCAGATCAGTTTGATTACCTAAAAATTCGAGCATATAGGCAGCCGCTTGCACCATTTTTAAGTAACCGAATTGATCAATGTTCTTTAGCGTATCGCATGTCTTATGATAACATGGATCGTAAGTGGCGCCTGGCAAACCACCGTAACCCTGACCCAATTTTGCTTCATAAATATCACGTTGTGTTTCGGTTTTGGTTCCGTCACCACCTGAAAAAAGGCCTCCAGCAGCAATGCCGGCAGCAAGAAAAGGTCCATAGTCACTTCGGCCACTAAAATCAGTGTAATCCCATGGAAGATTTTGACTATTGAACCAGTTACGAAACGCTTCGGAGACTCGAATACTGCCATTAATTGCTTTTTGAGATGTACCTGCTTTAGCTGAACTACCGTTGTAAATACCGAATATATAGTTTGGCGAACCTAACATGTCGTAGTTAAGATTAATTAAATTGTTGAAAAGCTTCAAGTCGTCTGGGGTCGATGAATTCTGAGCTTGCTGTACGTGGTAAATTGCTCCAGTCAAACCAATTTCTTCTCCACCCCACCAGCAAAATCGAATCCGATATGGATACTTTGAATAGCTGTTAGATGAATACAAACGGGCTAAATTCAACGCTAGAACAAGGTTAGCTGCTGATCCACTACCTATATGTAACACCAAATTAACAATGTGAGTGATAATATAGAGTAAAATCTATGTATAGTCACTTACCATTATCATTGATACCAGGTCCAGCCGGTACACTATCACTATGACTGCCCACCATGATCGTTTTTGTGCTGTTTCCATCGACGGTATGTGCACAGATATTGTGAACGTCAAATGTGCCATAGTTTTCGCGTTGAATCTCGAGTGTTACATTAACTGAATTGCTAGAATTAAGTAAATTGAATAAGGATCGGCCAGCTGCATACGACAAAGAGAGTGCAGGTAAGATATTAGCTTGACGAAGACGAAACGTTGCTGGTGCTAGACTTGACGTCGTCGAACCGTGATTGTAGAAAAGCAACGCTGATACATTTTTCGTAGCTGCAAGTTCACCCTTCTCCGCGTACGTACATGTCCCACCAGCCATGATCAGTACAGCTTTACCTGTAGTATTAGCGTAATCATCCTTGTTACAACCATAGTTTTTAACTTGGACAAGTTCGTAGATGGTTAGATTTATCGCTGCTGTATAATTCGCGTATGTGAAATCAGTTCGAGATAGGTTCGTTGAATAGGTGAAGTTTTCAGTCTTTCCATTCGAAGACCAACTTAAGATTGGATCTCCTTTGATGGAAAAGTTTTGTATTGGAAACGTTTCACGGATAACCTGAAGCTGACTGTAACTGTTAGTTTTCAGTTGATTTTCTATATAATTCACTGTTTGAGCGAATCCAGCTGTTCCTATCGCACGTGTATTACCGTTTTCACGTGCAAAACTTTCAAATTGTTTAAGATGGATCAATAAATCTTGCATACGAACAGTTTCGGCAAGAATGCTCGCGAGTGATCCTGATGGTGTAGAATTTGTTGTTGTACTTATTGGCGTAGTTGTCGTAACCAGCTTCTTCTCAAGGTCATTGAATCGTTTGTTCAAGGTGCCAAGCGCAGCGGCAGCTAGGGCAAATGTGATAATAACAAAGAGGGCAATAGCACCTAGTATAATCAGTAGAGGACGA